CGGTCACACTAGCCACATTTCAGGTACTCATTAGCTACAAAAGGCTAGTGATAACTGTGTTGGACAGCACAGATATGGAATATTTGGTATTGCAGAAATTTCTACAGGACAGCACTGCACTATAGCTAAACCTCTTGCAGATGCCCAATTCACTTTGTCTTTTTATCCAAATATGCTTTCCTACCTCTAAAATACCTCACATGCTTTCCCTCCTCTAAAATACCTTTATCTATTCTTTAATATATGAAATCACCCTCTATTTTATTTATGAATAAAAGGATAAAGGTATTTTTGAGGCCATCACTGAGAGACAGCAGCAGAGTAAATATCAGAATCTTATATCTAGAGTGGGTGGAGCTGGCTAAGTAAGACTGCAGCTTTCCTCAGAATCACCAGTCATTTTATATCTCTGTGGATCTTCCCTGTTATCAAATATTTGTCTTATCTAAGGCATAAAATGCCTTGCAGCAAGTAAATACACCATAACAACAAGGGTTAGCTGCACTCTTACAATTTATTTCTATGCTCCATATGTTGCACGCTACTGATTGTTTCTCAGTTAAGGAAAGGAAGTAAGATACAGAATTTACTGAGTAATTAAAATGTCCATTCTTGGAACCTGTGAGCTGATTCTATTTTTAGTGAAAATAAAACCAGAGCCATCTACCCTAAAATGATTAAAGTGAGAAGAATGAAATGTCTCATTTTCTATATAAAGAACTTTGAAGTAGAGGTTAGAATGCCTGGGGTTTACATATTTGCTTTAATATTTATGAGACACGGATCTAAGGCAAAACTCCTAACTTCCTTCGGTCTCATTTTCTCAATCTATGAAGTTAAAGTAATCATGATACAGGTCCTTCCTGTCTCCCAGAGTTCTGCTGGGAGCACATAAGGCCCTCAATGTTAAATGCCTTTAGGACTTGGCACCAACTTGGCACATTTTCATTCACAGTGATATGTAGCTTTGAGTTACATATTGTCCTTCTTCCAGGTTATACATCAGTATTGTTTTCTTATGATGCATTACAAATATTTATTCTAAAGTGGCCAAACATCTTGACTTTTTTGTATAAAGAAGGGAAACCACATCTTGAGAACGAGCCAGTGTAAATGTTGGAATTTTTTATCCAAAGTAGGTGGAGTTGACTAAAAGGTAAAAAATAAATGAATAAGTAAAAACAGATGTACATACTGTGAAAAACTAAGGATTAAGAGAGTAAAAGAGTATAGCAATTGTTTCTTAGCTGCCTGGTCCTTTTATCTAAAAATACAAATTTCCACATAGGCCTGCTTAAGTTTTAAAAAGAAAGTTCACCTTGGATCATAGTAGGGAAAGAAAGAAAGAAAGAAACACCAAGGGTGGTCTTGAGACAGGTCGTGAGAACCTAGAAACTCTAAGGCTGGGTGATTATTAATTTCCTAGCTAGCAAGGGGGAAAGAATGGGCATGGCTTCCACAGGGAACGCTGAGTATGTCAGCCTAATTAGAAGTGGGTACAAGGTAGAGAATGCTGAGAAATAATGCAGGACAGATGACATTCAGCATCTGAAGGGGACTTGGGATTCAGACAGAAGTTTTGGGTCAGTGGGAGCACCCAATTCAGAATAATCTAGATTGCAGATTCCTGGGCCTCACCATAGACCTGTTTATTGACTCAATGGATGGCAGCTGAGAATCTGTAGTTACAAAGTCACACAGGTGTTGCTTGAGTACATTGAAGTTCAGGAAACACTGCAGCAGACGTAAAATATAAATTTTTTTACTTTTTAGTTTTTAAAAATTTAAAAAGAAATTTTAAATGTTTTCCAGCTTTATAAAGGGATAATTGACAAAGTTTGTACATATACATCTATCAAAATGTGATATTTTGATAGATGCCCATATGTATATATGATGTGCATACATCTATCAAAATGGTATTTTGATATACGTATAAGTTGTGAAATGATTACCACAATGAAGATAATTAACATCTGTCACCTCACATTGTGTGTGTGGTGAAAATATTTTAATATCTTCTCTTTTAGCAAATTTCAAATATAAACTACATTATTAATAAGTATAACCATCATACTATATGTTTTCTCCAGAACTTATTTATCTTATACCTGGAAGTTTGAATTCTTTCACTAACATTTCTCCATTTCTTCTATTTTTCAGCCCTTGGCAATCACCATTCTACCACTCTATTTCTATGAATTGGACTATTTTGGATTCCACTTATTAATGAGATCTTGCATTGTTTATCCTTCTGTATCTGGCTTATTTCACTTAGCATAATATACAATAAGTTCGTCCATGTTGTTGCAAATGACAGGATTTCCTTGATCTAGAGTCATATTCCTACAACATAGTAGTAATGTGAAGTAAGGGGCCTTGCAGCCAGTGTCCAGGATAACTCTTAGGATGAAAAGATGAGGTGACACTGAAGGAAGTGGAATTGGCAGAGCTATTACCCACAACAAGAGGGATGAGGGCCTTCACTAGGGTCTGAATCAAGGAATAGATGGGAATCGGTGACTAACCATTATTAAAAATAATAAGTGGGTAGGAGTGGGTAGGAGATCCAAAGTGCAGGAGAGGAAGTATTTAAAACTGATCACATAATTGTAAGTCCATATAAAGAGGAGAGACTAGAGATACATTACACAAATGGAGAATTGAGAGTGGTTGATTTTGTAGAAAATAAGTTTAGCTTGGAGTATTTAGATGATGGCAATACTTTTAAACAGAAACTTACAGAAAATAATTGAAAGAAAGAGGAGCTCCAAACTTGCAAGATAAATCTTGGCTAGAACAATTAATGAAATTTTTATGTAACACCCTCAAATGAGGGTTCTCTGTGTTTGTACCCCATTAAATTGTCAAAATATATGTTATTTCACATGCAAAGGATTACATGAGCTAAATGCCAATCGCGTGGGCAACCCAAAATGAAAATGTCTTACATTCAGGCATGATACTCCAAGCTGTATTCACAGTTTATGTCAAAGATCAAAATGTATGGCCTAGTTGATAAAGTGAACATATTTAGTTATTTTGCTCTTTCTACACCAGATGTAAAGTCCTTAAGTGTTGGACAATGTGGTTAGAAACTCATCTATATACCTCAGTGACCTCAAATATTTGATAAATGCTTAGTTGAACTCAATTTTAAAGTGATCCTTAGAGATGATACCTGACAAATATACGGCATCTTTCTACCCCAGAGTTAAGCCTGTTTTTGTTAAATCCCTTGGGTTCAATTCCCAACTATGCTGCAGTCCTTTGAGAAGCTAATTAAGATGCCTGGCTAATATGGGAATTGTGGTCTGAAAATTAAAAGTTAGAGTGTGCCTCAAATCCCAGACTGGGTCCTCCCGCTGGGAGGTTTCCTAGTATTAGATATGCCCTTAACACAAACTGTTCCAAACTACGGTCTTAGTTGGAGTAGAATTAGAAAAGTATATGTGAGGAGATCTTTGATGGCTCTTACAAGCTATACATACTTATAGCAAAAGTGTTTTTTAAAAAAGGCTTTTGGTCACAAGTGTTTTGTTTTTTTTTTGTTTTTTTTTTTTGCTTGGTTCTATTTTTAGCAAAAAAAGAAAAACTATTACAATCATTTAGCATGTACAGTATCTAAAACATCTTATTGGTCATAGTACAAATAAAAAGATAGGTATGTTCTCAGAGAACATAAGTTCTCTGATGCATCTCTAAATTTGAGAGTGTACTTGTACTCATGCAAGGATAAAAGTATATTTTTATTGTTTTCTGGTATTTTGCAGTACACATTTTTATACAATATATTGTAAGGAATAGTGACTATAAAACACATTATGTAAGGAACTCATTGTGTATTAAGTATTTGTTGTATCTAAATGAACACTTTTGCATTTTCTAAACTCGAATTTATATCTATATTATAAAAATTAAATTATTTAGAATAAGTTTATATTTGATTCCTGTCCTTGACATTCTGTGCTGTTTGTGTTAATTAATTTAATAAATTAATTACTCATAGACATATTTTTTATTTTAATATAAAGAAATTCAAAGCAGATTCAAATGTATTTTCTACCAAACACTTTTTTAGACTTTTGGATTGCATCATATATGCACAGAATAGATAAATACATTTATTCATTAATTTGACAAATACTTACTGAGCATATACTATGTCCCAAGAACTGTTCCAAGTGCCAAGGATACAGCAGAAAACAAAGCGTGATTTGGGTGATCAAGAGCTTGCACTTCATCCTATGTGTCAATAATTATAATAGTATTTTACCTCCAGATAGTAATTTTGATTCAAATCTTTATTATAATAAACTCATAAACCTTAGAGATTATTTCTAGAAGCAGAGGTCACAGAATAACTTCTGCTGCAGAGCTGAACATAGAGCTCAAGTTTTAATAAATTCCTTCTAGCTTTCAGTAATATGGACACCTAGGCTTTCAAATTAGGAATTTTCCTTTCTTGGAAATTCATATCACGAGCAAACTCAGTTTACTTAATATAATTGATTGATTTGACCCATGTGAAAAGGACTACTGTGTATGAATTGATGAGAAGTGTTTGAGCCTGGTCATTTTAATTGCAAATATTTTATAATCCATGTCTTTATAAATGTGTGTTTCTAACTCTGCATCCTTTAATGAGAGGTCTTTTTTTTTTTTTTTTTTTTTTGAGACGGAGTGTCGCTCTGCCGCCCAGGCCGGAGTGCAGTGGCCGGATCTCAGCTCACTGCAAGCTCCGCCCCCCGGGTTTACGCCATTCTCCTGCCTCAGCCTCCCGAGTAGCTGGGACTACAGGCGCCCGCCACCTCGCCCGGCTAGTTTTTTGTATTTTTTAGTAGAGGCGGGGTTTCACCATGTAGGCCAGGATGGTCTCGATCTCCTGACCTCGTGATCCGCCCGTCTCGGCCTCCCAAAGTGCTGGGATTACAGGCTTGAGCCACCGCGCCCGGTATGAGAGGTCTTTATCTTTGCATCCACTGTTCACTTTTTTCCAGGTCTTAGGAGGAAAGCCGGAGCTTCCAGATGGAGGTGATGATGATGACATTATAGCAGACATAAGTAACAGGAAAATGGCTAAACTATACATGGTGAGTTCACTGTAACCAAATTTATTGTTTCTACAGGACTGGATGTAGCTAGAGAGGCCTGGGAGGGATTGCCTTTGTTGCAATTGAGAACTCTCCTCATCGTTCTCCAAGAGCAATGTGTAGATAGAATCAGTTCTTTGCTCTTGTATATTTTTTTAAATTAAGTTTTAATACTTTTTGTTATTTTTATGTAAAACAACAAATATGTGAACTTATTGCTGTGACTCACATAAAATTATATACTGTTGCTGTACTAGTTTGCAACAATCGTTTGATATGTACTACTCAATACAATATTTCCTTTATGGAGTAAAAATATTTTATCAGCTTTTTCTTATAAATTCTTGATAAGAATGTAAAGCCTTCACCCTATTTAAAACGTTGTCTTTAGCCATAATGAAGGAGTTCTTTGTTACAGGAGGGCTGAGCTACCAAATGAAACAGCTGGAGGGAACCAGGGTAAAAACACTTCTGTTCTGGGCATTAACATACCTACTTCCACATCAGCTGTATGGCACATGATTAGCAGCATGACTTTGCACAGGACATAACCACTCTGGGTCTTAGCATTCTTATCCACACACAAAAAAGAAAGTAGTTTCCTTCCAACTCTGTAGCTTTTTTATTTTTTTGTTTGTTTGTTTTTTCTGTTGAGGGTAACAAAAACTGCAAGGCACTCCAGTTAAGGGGATTGCTACAGTGGTTTTCTTCAAGTGTTCCCTCCCCTTGCAACTTTCTTTGGAGCAAATCGTAAATCTCCAGCAGAATTTAGTAGTTTTCTCATCTGTATCAGAAAGAAACTATATTTGCTGCTCTTTAAGGGGTTTTTGGCTCCGAAACTCTGTGATTTTATGTGAAGACCAAATTAATAACTTGTTCAGCGTAACTTCCTTTTCATAATAAGTGGATTTTTTTCTTCCTAGATGCAAAAGGAAATATGGTTACCATTTCTGCTAAATACTGGTAATTTTAATATGAGCCATACAGAAAATGTTACCTAAATATTTTGTGACTGCTTTTAAATATTACTATTTCTAAAACTCATTTTCAACAGCCTGACAGATATCTTTTATTTCACATCATCAACCAAAACGGTTCTCCCTCTTGGACAGCATTATGAACTAAAGAAGTGTTTTTAAAGGGGAAAATATTCATCCTGAGTCATAGCTTCCTCTAGTGGAGCTATGCTGTATTACATGGATATAAAGTATAAAGTTCCTTTGAAAATAATTTCCGGTTTCTTAACAAGGCTGGCAAGCAAAATCACCTGGGGCATTTTCTAAAACTACGGAATTCAAACTCCACCCTGGTCCTGCAAAACTCCACCACTGATCAAGGGAGGGCTCTGGAATCTGCATAATTGGTGACTAAACTGTAGCATACAAGCTGGACATTGAAAACCAGTAAATCCTAACCTGCACATGAATATCACTTTCGATTTTATAAGATCACTTAAAAATTTGTTTTAATAGTCTGTAGTCATTTCCAAATGTGACAGAAGAAATTTACTTTGATAATTTATACAAAGTGTATTTACCTTGCAGGACCTATGTTGAAAAAAATCTTTATGCATAAACTGTATCAATAGCTTAATTAGCAAAGTGGCTGGTATATAGTAGATAGTAAATGTTGACTAAATTAATGTTTAAACTTCATCTTCTTGTGTGTATGTAATTATTTTAAGATTATTACCTATTTGAAAAGATTGCTCTAAAACGTACAAGAAATAATCATGTAAAGTTAATTACATGGTTCTTAGTACATAAGAGCATCTGTCTAGCCATTATTATCATCACTATTCTTTTCTGATGTTTTAGGCACAGTGTCAAAACTTAACTTTTTATTTGTTAAGTTTACCCCCAAAGAACTTTTTTAAAAAATTGGAGTGTAATGAAGTCTTGTGGATTCTTTTCATTTTCTTTGAAACAGTTTTATTGAGATATAATTTATACACCATAAAATTCATGCATTTAAAGTGTACAGTTCAATGCTTTTTATTTTATTACATTTACCGAGTTGTACAACCATTACCATAATCTAATTATAGAACATCCTTATCATCCCCAAATGAAAACATGGAGGTCGTGGTTTTTATATTAGGTTTCAGATGCAAGTGGCTCCATGAGGGTGACTGTGGTGGCAGAAGAAAACCCCTTCTCGATGGCAATGCTGCTTTCTGAAGAATGCTTTATTTTGGACCACGGGGCTGCAAAACAAATTTTCGTATGGAAAGGTGAAAAATTCCATTGGCGATGCTGTATTTCCGATGTATATATATTTCCTCTAAAAGGCTACATAAAATATATTTTTTTGATTTTTTAAAAAAATCCCACCTTTTAGTTAAGACTTGATCTATAAATGTCTCACATAAAATGCAGCCATTTTCCTCCTACCAACATCATGTACCAGGGATTATGGAGTTAAAAAAAAGCATTTGGGCAATATAAAAAGAATTGTTTTACAAATAACATTTTTTGCGAATTGTTAAATATACTTAATATACCAGGAAATTTTTGCTATTCTTTTTTTTTTTTTTTCCTTAAGACAGAGTCTTGCTCTGTCACCCAGGCTAGAGTGCAGTAGCGCAATATCGGCTCACTGCAAGCTCCGCTTCCCAGGCTCACGCCATTCTCCTGCCTCAGTCTCCTGAGTGGCTGGGACTACAAGCACCCGCCACCATGCCTGGCTAATTTTTTTGTAGAGACGGGGTTTCACCGTTTTAGCCAGGCTGGTCTCAAACTCCTGACCTCGTGATCCACCCGCCTCGGCCTCCCAAAGTGCTGGGATTACAGGCGTGAAACACCACCCCCGGGCAATTTTGCTATTCTTTCACTGTTACATTTAACTTGAATTATAATTATGTTTATTATGGTACACAAGTATTTCTTAATCATAGAATGTCTTCCTTCTCTGAAGTTCTTTCTCTTTAATTTACCTTGTATTTTAGGTAAAGATGCTAATCCCCAGGAGAGGAAGGCTGCAATGAAGACAGCTGAAGAATTTCTACAGCAGATGAATTATTCCAAGAATACCCAAGTATGTGTGAAAATGAACTGGCTAGAAAAAAATAGAAAACATGGGAGCTCATGACATCTCCATGAAACTCATGAAAAAGTTTGGGTCAAAGTAACGTCTGCATGTGAAGTGATTCTCCACCTGCCTGTCTGCTGCAATCTGGTGTCACATGTCCCTCTTCTTTATCTGTGTGGGGGTTAGAATTTTTTAGAAACTGCTCATCAGACTTTCTATAGAGTGCCCATTCACTTCCTCCACTGCCTTTAATTCAAGATAGTAAACTACAGTAGATTTAGCTAAGAGCACTTATGAGTTATTATTCCTTAGAGCAAGTTGTGCAGACTTGGCCTGAAACCCAGATGATACTTGTCTATATCAAAATCAATTTAGACCTTGGCTAATTGCTCCTTTCCTTTCCGAATCTCTCAGCCTCATCTATTCTCCTCGTTTTTATGTCCTTACACAAGGAACACAATGAGATAATTTCTTCCAGCTCACAGATCTCTTGTGAACCTTATGGAGAAAGAAAAACTTATTTTACTGCAGGGATAACATATTAAAGAACTTGATTCTTCTCTCAAATATTAAAATTCAGTGGTAATTACTTTAGTCGTGAGAAAAAGCAGTTTTGGATTATATGGGCTTGATAGCCAAACCAGGATAATTTTTCATTTCCTTCGTTCTGTCTCCACTGCCAGATTCATATTTTCCCTCAATTTCTTATTTTCCTGTTTATTATTATTATTATTTTAAATTTCAGATTCAAGTTCTTCCAGAAGGAGGTGAAACACCAATCTTCAAACAGTTTTTTAAGGACTGGAGAGATAAAGATCAGAGTGATGGCTTCGGGAAAGTATATGTCACAGAGAAAGTGGCTCAAATAAAACAAATTCCCTTTGATGCCTCAAAATTACATAGTTCTCCACAGATGGCAGCCCAGCACAATATGGTGGATGATGGTTCTGGCAAAGTGGAGGTATTTACCTGTTTTTGTTTTCGTCAAGCCCATGAATGCTAGTGTATGTTGGGAGAGGGCAGGGGAGATCCCTTGGGTCAAGAGTTCGAGATCAGCCTGGCCAACATGGTGAAACCCCAGCTCTACTAAAAATACAAAAATTAGCCAGCTGTGGTGGAGCTCACCCATAGTCCCAGCTACTTGGAAGACTGAGGCACGAGAATCGCTTGAGCCTGCGAGGTGGAGGCTGCAGTGAGCCAAGATCACACCACTGCACTCCAGCCTGGGTGACAGAGGGAGAAATGTGTATACACACACACACACACACACACAAATGTGTATACATACACATATCTGTGTTTATATATACATATATATTTATAAATGTATATCTAAATATATTTATACATATTTAATGGCTCTCCTCAGCCTTCCTGAGAACATCCATCTTCAGCTGGACCCTTGACCCTTTCCCTCCTCTTGGCTTCACCCATGCACTGCCTTGAGTACTGACTTCCCCTCTGCCATCTAGCTAACGTTCCTACACCTCATTGGCAACTCAGTTAAATCACAAGCCATACCTTTTCTGAGAAGGCTTCCCTCAGTGCTGAAGTGGCCTTTCTCTGTGTTCAACCTCTAAGGATATTTTTCACAGAATTTATCATATACCTACCACAGAATTGTTCATTTACTGCCAGATTTCTCCTAGACCGCTCATCAATTCCTTGAGGACAGGAATTAAATATTTCATCTCTATATTCCTAGGGCTTACCACAATGCTTGGACCAAAGTATACGGTCAAGAAATTAGTGAAATAATTTTTCCTCTTTTCAAAGACATGAAGCATGAATCTAAGTGGCATGGGTGTTGGGGAGTGGGGAGCGCCAAGGGATAAGTTCACAAATGTCCCTCATGGCTGTTGTCGGAGGAGTATGGACTTCTGGGTCTGCATCTGTCTCCTACTTAGACATTCCTGCTGGAGCTCAGTCCTCCTGGCAAACTTGGTCTCCAGCACCAGCTGTGTCCTGGCTGCAGCTTTCTCCTGTGCCATCCTAGGGCTGCTGAAATCTGGGGAGCTCTCTCTAGGATCTTGTGCTGTCTCTAGGATATAAGGCTTCTGCTCTCTAGGATAGGGTGGGGTGGCCTCTCTCTAGAAGCATTGCACTGCTCCTGTCCACTTGCTCATCTTCAGATTTCAAAGCAAAGAGTCTGCCCTTCCCACCGAAGAACTTAGGCAAGTGTGCATATGTGTGTATGAGTGTGTATGTGTGCTTACATGTACACACACAGTGCCTGGCAGCCTCTCCTTCATTTGTTACTCTCCTGTTTCATCTACAGTTCTCATCTCTCCAACTTGGAGGGTCTTTAATCTGTGCTGAAGATGAGGAGGTAGAATGAAAGTGGTTCTGCCTGTTTTTATCCCATCATCACATTTCAGTCTTATACCTGGATGGCATCATGTTATCGGCATGGTCTTAGTCTGTTCAGGCTACTATAACAAAAATACCGTAGATTGAGAGTTTAAGCAGAAACATTTATTTCTCACCATTCTGGAGGCTGGGGAGTCTATGCTGAAGGTTTTGATGGGCTCAGTGTTTGGTGGAGGATCCACTTCCCGGTAGACTTTTTGCTGCATCCTCACATGGTGGAAAAGGAGCTAGAGAGCTTTCTGATTATAAGGGCGCTAATTTCACTCATGAGGGCTCCGGCCTCATGATCTAAGTACCTCCCAAAGGTCCCACCTCCTAATACCGTCACACTGGAGGTTAGGATTTCAACATAAATCGTGGAGGGACTCAAACATTCAGTGTGTTGTAGCATCTTCAGTATTTGGTCACAGGCTACCAAGTCTTGCCTGGGAAAATAATAGTCTCCTATCTTAAAGCACAGGGAAAAAAATACGTATGTTATTTCATAATTGATGAAAAAATTAAAATACATATTTCTGAGCTGAATCTTGCAGTTTTTTATTCCACTGGAGTGTCATGTTATTTCCACTAGTAGATGAAACAATAGGTATTTATTAATCACCAGGCTTGAAACTGAGCTTAATACTGTAGAGGAAGCAAAAGAAATATAAAAGTACTTAAAATGTCAATAAATTGGCAAATTTATAACAATTTCTTTCCTTTGCTTGATTTGTAAACTAGTTAAAAAATAATTTAAAAGTTGTTTAATAATAGATTTGAACCAAAAATTATTTAAAGCTTATGAGAAGTACTATTAGATCAAGAAAATTGTAATTTGGTGTATATATTCCATTCCTTCCAGATTTGGCGTGTAGAAAACAATGGTAGGATCCAAGTTGACCAAAACTCATATGGTGAATTCTATGGTGGTGACTGCTACATCATACTCTACACCTATCCCAGAGGACAAATTATCTACACGTGGTGAGTTTATATTGGGCAAAGATCTCGGGTTCCACAGGAGCCAGATTTTGCTCCAAAGTATTAAATTCCATGCATTATGGGGTAGAATAATCCTATAATCACCCCAGTGAGATTTGTATAGCATGCATGTAGTATTTTCTTTTTATATGATTTTGACTTTGTTTTGCAGTTGCCATCCACAGGCAGCAGGAGTTACATAAAAATCATACTATCTAGTCTAGGAAAAAAGTTTTGATATCCTAAACCAGTGATGTTCTGCTAGTGGATATGTAGTTGAATATCTCATCTTGTACGCAGGTTAACACTGCAATAGCAAGTGTCAGGTACCATGGCTTCTTACTGTTAAAATTCACAGAGGTCCATCCTAATTGGAACTGCAAAGTTGCAATATGGCAAAACCCATAGGAGATACAATTTGTGATTCCATTGATACCTCAACTTGATGCAATTCTTATTCTTTGTTTCCATTAAATGTAAAATAATGGAAAAAATATGCAATTGCGGTTTGTTTGTTTGTTTGTTTTTTCCTTTTGAGGCAAAATCTCACTCTATCACCCAGGCTGGAGTGCAGTGGCCCAATATTGGCTCACTGCAAACTCCACCTCCCGGGTTCACGCCATTCTTCTGCCTCAGCCTCCCGAGTCACTGGGACTACAGGTGCCCATCACCACGCCCGGATACATTTTTTGTATTTTTAGTGGAGACAGGGTTTCACCATGTTAGCCAGGATGGTCTCGATCTCCTGACCTCATGGTCTGCCCGCCTCGGCCTCCCAAAGTGCTGGGATTACAGGCGTGAGCCACCGCACCCAGCCCCTGTGTTTTCATCTTATACGGTTTTGCATGATGATTTGAGTTAATTGAAGTCTAAATTTACTTTCAGTAAATACCAATGCCCTGCTCAAGGAGGCAATGACCAAATGTCCAACCAAGTAATTTAGGTGCATACACCATGCCAGGATACGTCAAGGGATAGGGATTCTGCAAGAAATTATATAACGTGAAATTCTCTAACTTTTTATTAAGTGAAATCAGGTAAAAATAGAATATTGCTAAGAAGGCTGGAAAAAAGAAAATAATTCTTAAAAAAGATCTTCAAGCAGAGAAATGTGGGTGTAAGGTGCAAGGGCAGGGCAGGATCCTACCTTTGCCTACATAGTTATAACAACCTGTAATAGCTGTATAGAATATACATGCATTCAGTACTCTGCTGATATGGTGACATTTCTTTTTGGTGAACCTCACACACAAAGACAGAGTCACACTCATCCCCATAGTCTGGTCATCTACACTGCCCAGTGCCTTGAGCCCATTCAAGTTCAGGAGATGGGATGATACCAAAAGAGTGGTCTGGGAACTCGGAGGCATCAATATCACCTGGGAACTTCTTAGATTTGTAGACTCTCAGGCCCCACCTTTGACCCACTAAGGCAGAACCTGCATTTTAGCAAGGACCTCAAGTAATTCATATGCACTTCAATGATTGACAGACACTGCCTCAGGCAGTGGTTTAGAACACTGACTGCATATTGGAATAACCTGAACAATTTCTCATAAATCCAAGTGCTCTCACCCACACCAAACAAATCAAAATCTCAGCTGAGGGGACTCCTGAGATTCTAACCTACACTACCACATCGGTGTGAACCACCGGACCCAGGACCATCTCTGATGCCACAGTCACTCCATATGCTGTCCTAGATGAATGCATTTAGCTATTTAGCTCTGTGGTTAACATGTCGTCTTAATAGCAACCATTCTGTGAGCAGCATGTTTTCACTGGCAAAGTGCCAGATGTTTCCTTGTTTTTTCTTTTTTTTTTTTTTCTTTTTTTTTTTTTTTTCTTTCCAAAAAGAATGGAGCAGGGGAGATTAGACAGATGAAGTAATTTAACTCAAAATCACAGCTGTTGTAAGGCAACATTTTAAATCTTAATCGATTGGTCTCTTTAAGGCTTAAGTATATCTATATCAGGTAGTTATGTCCTTATTTTGCAATTTCGTTTTCTAAAATTTTAATTCAGAAAAGTGTTTGTGAAACAAAATCATAGCATTTATTGGGATAAATTAATTATTCCTAGTTAACTTTTCTTTTGCATTTTATTTCATGGTCTTCCTGTTAATTCTCTTTTGAATATGAAAAACATAATTGATTGTGAATTTAGATTAAACGAAAAAAGACTAAGCGAGTAATGCGAAAGAGTGTTTTGAGGAATTAACAATTTGCAACCCATATAAATGCCTATGTGGACATACTAAAATAGAATAAATCAGGTTACAAATTTTAAATGCTAAATTTAAGTTTTAAATCGTAGCTATTTCTTGTATCATTTGAAAGCACTTTATGTGCTAAGCAGTGTACTAATTTCTGGAGATACAGCAGTGGAAAGAAAAATACAATTCATGCCTTCAGGAGCTTATATGTGATGGGAAACAGATGATTAACAGATATTTTTAGTGCAATATAGAGGATTTATGTAAGATCAAACTGAGTGATCTTTGGATAATTATATACAGACCCTCCACCATACTCCTAGGCTATTGATTAAATATTTGTACCCTCTAGAACTCATGTTGAAACTTAATCTGCAGTGTGGAAATATTGGGAGATGGGGCCTTTAAGAGGTGATAGCTCTCATGAAAGGATAAGTCCATTAGTGGATGAATGGGTTATCATGAGAATGGGACCAGTGGCTTTATAAGAAGGGAAAGAAGCCTGAGCTGGCATACTCAAACCCTCACTGTGTGATGACCTGCACTGCCTCAGGAGTCTGCAGAGTCTTTGCCAGCAAGAAAACCTTCACCAGATGTGATCTCTTGACTTTGGACTTCTCACTCTCCTTAACTGTAAAAATAAGTTCCTTTTCCTTATAAATTACCCTGTTTCAGGTATTCTGTTATAAGCAACAGAAAATGAACTAAGACAGGCTCCTAGAAAAAGTGGTATTGAAGTGGAAGCTAGACAGGCAGGCAAATAGGGAAGTTGTTCCAAGCAATGCAGGAAAATAGTGTGCTCTAATCTACTCGTCATAGAGTATGGCTGGAGAACATTTAGGGTGCAAAAGATAAAACGAGGGAAATTAGAAGGAGCCAAATTGTAAATGACCTCATAAACCATGCTGAAGAGGACAAACTTTATTTTTAAGACATTGGGAGTCACTGAAAGAGTTTGTTTGGGGTGTTACATGATTGATTTTCATTTTATTTCATTTTATTTTATTTTAGACAGCCTCACTCTGTCACCTAGGCTAGAGTGCAGTGGCTCCATTCTTGGCTCACTCCAACCTCCGCCTCCCAGGTTCAAGCTATTCTCCTGCCTCAGCCTCCTGAGTAACTGGGATTAGAGGTGCACACCACGACGCCCGGCTAATTTTTTGTATTTTTAGAAGCGATGGCATTTCACCATGTTGGCCAGGCTGGTCTTGAACTCCTGACCTCAAGTGGTCCACCTGCCTCGGCCTCCCAAAGTGCTGGGATTACAGGTGTGAGCCACCGCAACTGGCCTGGTTTTCATTTTAGATAAATTATTCTGATTGACATCTGCAGAATGGATTGGTAGAGGAAGGCTAGCAGCAGGAAGACAACTGGGAATGTGTTGCAATAATCCAGCTAAATGATGTGGCCTGAATTTAGTGTAGTGACAACAGGGAAGGAAAGAATGAGACAAATTTGCAAAGTGTTAAGGCATTGGCACCAGAAAAACTGTTAATGGGGAATGGAGAAGACAAAGACAAGAATGACCCCTGGGTTTCTGGTCTGAGCAAAATGGGTAGCGTTTTATTTCCTGAGATTAAAAATCTTACGAAGAAGACAAGTTTGGCCCACACTCTACAAAAATGCAAAAGGAAAAAGAAGAGAAAGAGAAGGCACCATATTGATAATAGTTACTATCTTTGGAATGGGGCTGGAAGGATGGTCATTTAGTTTTCTTCTTTCCAATTTGAAATGTTCGACATTTCCATCATAAGAATGTATATATTTGGGGGATATCAAGAATGTAAATTAGATACTTCAGAGTCCTTTTGTGAGTCTTCACCATTTGAAATCATGGATGTGAAGTATGTAAGTCTGTTAGTGTTGTATGGTTTGTGGAACTTCAAAAGCTTCCGTAAAGATAGTGAAGAGGATTTCAAAAAATAAGCAGTTCCATCGAAGACTGGCTTTCAAATTAAACAACTTTCCAGTTTATGTGATAATTTCAATGCAGGGATATAAATAGGTTTAAGTCCAAGAGGCAGAGTTAAAGGTGAGAAACTAGAATTAAATCAGTTATGAAACCACTTGTATTCTGAGATGACAGGACAGAAATAATTTCAGCAATGATCTTTTCTCTGAAATATCAGGTAATTAAAATTGAACAGATGACGATGAATCTCTTGAAGTAGTAAATCCCATTTTTACGCAGCACTCATCTTTAATGAGCAACAACCACCACAGGTTTATAAAGAAAAAATACGTCAAAGTAGATTGCTTTTTTTGTTCAGCATAAGATTTTTAAATTAGAAACAAAGAGCGACTGTGTTATTTCTTGATTGCAGTGGAACACTTGAATCTGTGTGGATGGCAGTATGGTACTTGGGATCCGGAAGAGAGGTTTAAGATAAGTAGAGAAGTATTTGTTCAGAGTGTCATGAGACAGCAATTTAGTGATGTTTTTCAGGTTTGCTAGTTGAAATATTCCAAAAAAAAAAAAAAAAAAAAGGAGCAAAATGAAGACAAAAGTTGGATAATATTGTCTGTTCAGTGGTTGGATTTCTTCCCTTCAGAATAAAAGCAAAATGGAAAGCAGCCATTTTTAACAACAGCTGGAAGCGATAATTCAGGAAACCACAGATGTGACAAAGAAACAACGCATGATACAGACCCTGCGGTGGCCCGTCCTCATGCAGCTCTATGTAACTCCTCACCTTGTGCTTCCAGTTCGCACACAGGTGTTGGCTAGCATTATAGGCTCTTGGGAAATGTAGGCTATTGACATTAAAACACTATGTTTTTAGTAGTTCCTTTATTAGGGAAAGCATTTTTTATTTTCTTATCAACATTTGTGTGCATGATTTTTTTTTGCACCTCTCTGTAGAAAATTTTTACATCAACCATTTGCCTATGCTGGTCCAATGGAAAATTATGTGATAAGATATGCACCGTCTTCCCAGTGTTTTGGGGTGTGTGTGTGTGCGCGTGTGTGTTGCCCAACGTGGCAGGTTCTGTTAATCTGTTCCGAGTATGGAACAGTTTACTGTCAAAGTTTTAGAAGAAAAGATATATTAGCGTTGCTGCAAAAGTAATTTCGGGTAGGCCGGGCGTGGTGGCTCACGCCTGTAATCCCAGAACCTTGGGAGGCCGAGGCAGGTGCATCACCTGAGGTCAGGAGTTTGAGACCAGCCTGACAAACATGGAGGAAACCCTGTCTCTACTAAAAATACAAAATTAACCAGGCGTGGTGGCACACGCCTGTAATCCCAGCTACTTGAGAGGCTGAGACAGGAGAATCACTTGAACCCCGGAGGCGGAGGTTGTAGTGAGCCGAGATTGCACCATTGCACTCCAGCCTGGGCAACAAGAGCGAAACTCCGTCTCCAAAAAAAAAAAAAAAAAGTAAATGTGGCTTTTGCCATTACTTTTAATAGCAAACACAGCAATTACTTTTGCACCAATCTAATAGTTAACTTTGGAAGTCTAAATCCAAGTTTAGCATTCCTACTGCTAGGCTAACCACTAGTCAGATAGAAATGCGAAAGCTGGCTAAAAATAAATAATAGTCAATGAGTGCTTTTACCATGTTTGGAGCTTTGTTTTGTTTTCTTTTATTGTCTTCTCTACAAGCTCATCAAACAGCAGATCTCCCACAAGTTGCTTTACAGGTTAAGGTGACACAGAGTTAATAGCCACAAGCTACCCTAGAAAGAGAGGCTACAAACGAACTGGCCATATTGATGGACTGACCTGTATCTGAGTGCTGGAAGCTTAGCATCTTGTACAGCCTTATTACTAATTCCTATGGTGGGCAGGTCATGGTGCCTCACCCCTTTAATCCTAGCACTTTGGGAGGCGGAGGCAGGTGGATCACCTGAGGTCAGGACTTTGAGACCAGCCTGACCAACGTGGTGAAACCCTGTCTCTATTAAAAATACAAAAAAGCACCTGTAATCCTAGCTACTCAGTAGGCTGAGGCAGGAGAATCGCTTGAACCCGGGAGGCGGAGGTTGCAGTGAGTCGAGTTCATGCCACTGTACTCCAGCCTGGGTGATGGACTGAGACTCTGTCTCAAATGAAGAAGAAGAAGAAGGAGGAGGAGGAGGAGGAGGAGGAGGAGGGGAGGGGAGGAGGAGGAGGAGGGGAGGGGGGGAGGAGGAGGAGGAGGAGGAGGAGGAAGAAGAAGAAGAAGAAGAAGAAGAAGAAGAAGAAGAAGAAGAAGAAAGAAAGAAAGAAAGAAAGAAAGAAAGAAAGAAGAGAAAGGAGAAGAAGAAGAAGAAAGAAAGAAGAAGAAGAAGAAGAGAAGAAGAAGAAGAAGAGAAAGGAAAGAAGAAGAAGAAGAAGAAGAAGAAAGAAAGAAAGAAGAAGAAGAAGAAGAAGAAGAAAGAGAAAAATTCCATATGGAATTGCTAAGATGACAAAATGGGCCTCTCCATTGTCAACTTCTCATTATTATTTTCTTGATTTTCTGGAGTTACAGACATTTAGTTTGTGCTCACCAAATATTCATGAAAAAGACAAAATGCCGGCTGGGGCGTGGTGGCTCATGAAGAAGAAGAAGAAGAAGAAGAAGAAGAAGAAGAAGAAGAAGAAGAAATTCCTTATGGAATTGCTAAGATGACAAAATGGAGCCTCTCCATTGTCAACTTCTCATTATTATTTTCTTGATTTTTCTGGGTTACAGACATTTGGTTCATGCTCACCAAATATTCATAGAAAGACAAAATGCTGGCTGGGCGTGGTGGCTCATGCCTGTAATTCCAGCACTTTGGGAGGCTGAGGCGGGCAGATCATGAGGTCAGGAGTTCAAGACCAGCCTGGCCAACACAGTGAAACCCCATCTCTACTAAAAATAGAAAAAATTAGCCGGGTGTGGTGGCAGATGCCTGTAATCCCAGCTACTCTGGAGCCTGAGACAGGAGAATCGCTTGAACCCGGGAGGCAGAGGTTGCAGTGGGCCAAGACTGCACCATTGTACTCCAGCCCAGGTGACAGTGTGAGACTCCATCTCAAAAAAAAAAAAAAAAAAAAAAAAAAGACAAAATGCCACTAACAGTCAACGTAATAAGTTTGGCTCGTATTTTCATTTCAGATGGATTATTTTTCACTGTAGAGGTGTTTTCTAAAAAATAGGCAGCTCCAACTTAAAATCAGGTGAACCTGATGACTTAGCTAAGTTATGTAAGGAACAAAAGCTCAATTTCTTTAAAATGGAGATAAAAATGCCTACCATACACAGTTCTAGACGACACATAGGACAATTCAATGTTAGATACCTTGACAAAAACAATAGCTTAACAGCTCATATCATGTTGAAACAGTTCGCTTCTTGATCTTTCATAATAACTTGTCTCTGCTTGCAATGCCTACATGCGACGATCTTAAAAGTTAAAGGCAAGCTAATTTATTTCACTTTCATTCCTCTAGGCAAGGAGCAAATGCCACACGAGATGAGCTGACAACATCTGCGTTCCTGACTGTTCAGTTGGATCGGTCCCTCGGAGGACAGGCTGTGCAGGTTGGGATATTTTTACCCCCAAAACTCACCCAAGTTAAAGTCTTGCTAGCTCAATAGATAGCTATAGCTCCCTCCCAAGTTGGAATAGAAATTTGACATTTTCTTGATATGAACTCTGTTTTCATTTTGAAATTCGAATATTCCTACTCTCATTTCAAATTAGTTCTCTCAGATTCTGGAAAGGAGGTAACAAACACAAGCAACAAAAACTATCGACAGATTTAAGATCCCAAAAGAATCTTCCCATTAGAATCACACCCTGTGTCAGTGATAGTCGCTTGACATTAAAACGGTTTTACCTGTATTATTGTTTCCAGCTGTTGTTCAACAGACGGTAGGCAGAATAATCCCCCAAGGTGTTCACGTCCTAATCCTCAGAACCTGCAAGTGTGATATGTTACAAAGCAAAGGAGAGTTAAGGTTGGAGATGGAGTTACGGTTGCTCATCAGCAGATCTTAAGCTAGGGAGATTATCTGGGATTACTGGGTGGACCTAGTGTAATCACCAGGGTCCTTATAAGTAAAACAGAAAGCCAGACAGAGTCAGAGGGATGCAGCATGGGAAAGACCAACCAGCGATCGCTAGCTTTGAGGATGGAGGGAACAATTACATATTATATAGTTTGCAAATTGCTAGAAGGATAATATTGAACATTCCCAACACAAAGAAATGATAAATATTTGAGATAATGTTATGCTAGTTACCCTAATCTGATCACTATACATTGTATGTACCCCGTGAATATCTACAATTATTAATCAATTAAAAAATAAAATTAAAAATAAGAAGATGGAAGAGAGTCCCTAGCAAAGGAATATGGGCAACCTCTTGAAACCAGAAAAAGCAAGGAATAGATTCATTCCTAGAGCCTCTAGAAAGGACTATAGCCCAGCAATAGCTTGATTTTAGCCCCATGACTAAATTGTTATTCCACATTTTAGCCCAGTGATCTATCTAAATTAACCCCATAACTCATTTCAGACTTCTGACCTCCAAAACTGTAAGATGATAAATTTGTGTTGTTTTAAGCCACTAAATCATAGTAATTTGTTACAGCAATTCTGTAACAAATTATAATTTGAGAAATAAATACAACAGTACAGAACAAGCACAGATTAGCAATTCTAATTAATAGGTAGAAAAAAGACTCATTTTCTTACACTCTCAAATCATAAACATGCGTAAGTTATGTTTTGCACAAGTAAACAGAAATAAATCTTGATAAAATAGCATGAGTCCTTATATTTCCCTTTTAGGTACCAAAATCTTTACTGAAACAAAGTCCATCACCCAAAAGTGAGGGAGGAAGTGGTGGAGAGGGAGAAAGCATGAACAGAAATGGGAGGGACAAAGAGAAAAGATAGGGAGAAAGGGGAAAGAAAAGGGGAAGGGGGGAGGAGAGGGAAGAGAAGAAAGGGAAATCATGGAGGAAGAAATGAGACAAGTGGGAAGAAGGAGAGAAGAGGAAGGGCAAGGGAGAGGATAGTGTGAGAGGGAGGAGAGATATATTTTTTTATTTGGGTATTTCTGAAAAAAAAATTACTTGTCGAGAATGACTAAATCCAAATTCAAAATGAAAATTTCATGTAATTAAAAATGAGTCAACTTTTTAGTATATCTATCTAACTTATCTATCTATCTTATCTATCTCTTTCTGGAGACAGAGAGAGAGATTAAAATAGAGAAAAATGGGCAGGAAAAGATAATATACTGCTTTATTTATTATAAAACTTTAAATGTTATACAGTGTCAGACAATATCAATGTCTAGTTCTAGATCTCACTGTGTCTAAGAGACTGCTGTTTCTAGCCTGGTTCAACCTTCTGTCCTCTCCTAAGTTCAACTGCTCCTCCTTTTATAGTTATGGTGGAATATCTGCTACTTGTTTCAGGACCCTTATTAGTTACCATGAAAAAGTTTAGGTCTTTGTTTTTTAAATTCCCTTACTGTATAACTGACATACAGACTTCAAGGAGACCCTGTTTTCCTCTAGTGTGCCCCAGTGTGTCTGTCTGCTTTCTTGTTCATTCTGGGAGAGGGCACTTGCTTGTTCCTTTTCCCTACAGCTGGCTGGAGCTTTCTCTCTCCCTCTCTCTCATTCCCTGTGTCTTCCTAGCTGGAGCTGCACACACTGCTGCCTGTTTTCTGCCTGCCTGTTGTCTTTGGCCAGTTTTTGAGAAGCCATCTGCTCCTATCTGGTGGGAAAAGCATCTTACAGATTAGAATTCAAACAGAAAGCAGGTGCTTACTTGGCCAGTGCAGTGATGTTTCTGATACAGCAGCATTAAACACTCCCTTTGCATGGTTGTGCCTGTTTAACTTCCTCATTCCTGGTGTCAAGGGAGCTAAGATTCTACATGGTACAAAAGGGTTTTTCTGTCTTGTTTTCAAATCTTTGTCAGTGTGTAATTGCTTATTTTAATATAATAATTAAATAGAGAGGTAAGTTAGACACTTTAGAACATAAAGTGTAAGATGTGGAGGCCGAAGTTGGTCTTCCAGCTGGTTTCTTTCCCATCTTGATACAAGTTAGTAGATACATAAAACAAGTTACATCTAAATTTAAAGGTGCATATTAACTTCTTAAAAATAACTTGCTAATTTTTAATTAACAAATTAATGAGATGACTGAATTATTTAAATGCACTCAATTCTATGAAATTTAGCTGATCTATAAGTTATTACTTGCCAAACTATTATAAAAAACTTTACATATTTCATATTTCATAGTGCTATATTTGATACACTCGATTATGAATTTCCATGAATTGTTAGCCAGTTGAATCCTAAATTGACAACAAAATGGTAATTTTTAGTTTAATCACTAGATGGCAGTAGCTTACAATAATGCATGAAAAAACTAAAGTTGCGGTTTTCAATGCTCCTTTGTAGACTATATTAACCATTAAAATTACTTTTAATCAACCTTTTTTCTTTCTTATTCTCCTTTGACAGTAAGAGATGGGCCTTAATCAGTGTTTCACTTTCTCTCATGTTAGCAATTAAAGTTTTCTCCATGTTATATGAAATGCTAAGCCAACAGTTTTAGGTATTTGTGAGACCATAACTGACAAAACACTTCCATAATTTGCTGCTCACTTATTTGAATGCCTACTAATTGAAATATATTTATGAAGTCAATTATTTTCAATGCCTTTAGGCCTCCATCTAATGGTACATGCATCAGCATTCCCATTCACCTGGCTTCTAGAAAAAGACAAACCAGGGGAAGTGAGACAGTTCAATTTTCGCATAGGGCAGAACAAATGAAAACAACGGGAGACTGACATGAAATTTGAACTCTTTATGTAAATGCATCAATAGTTTGTGTGAGAAATAGGAAATTCTAATCCAATATTTGGGGCTAATAAATAAAATCAAGCAAATAATTTCCCTTTTTTTTCAATTTCCTCATCCTGAAAAGTCTTTTTTTTAAAAAAAAAAAAAAAAGACTTATTTTTTTTAAAGTCTTATTTTTTTAAAGTTTCTTATATTAAGCATATCTACTATTACATTTCTATCAGTAAGTTAAAAAGTAGAAAACATATTCTGTTTATTTTTGCCCGTTTTTAATGCTTGTATGGAAATCTTTGTGTGTGTGTATTTTTTTTATTTTACAAATACAGAGGTATAGAAATAATGAGTATGATTTGGGGTCATCTTATGTTGTAAAGCATTTGAATTCACATCTCTTAACCTTCTGAACCAGATCCAAAAACATGAGATTCTAGTACCTCTGTAAGTATCTGTGTTACTGGCGCCCTTGAAAGAAGAGCGATTTTCACTTAAGATTTTCACATAAGGTCACAGACACCAGCACTTTGGTGTTACCTTGTCTCTTTCGGAGATGTAACAAACAAACTTACATCTTCATACTTTTCAAAACCAGAAAGTATTGGAGCATGGTGATGTTTCCCCTGACAAGAAACTACTCAGGGACACCGTGCCTGCAAAAACAAAATATTCTTAAGTCAACAAGGAAAACTGATTTTCATTACCCTATATTTTCTGTTAATCATCATTTCTCCTGCTCTTGACTTTTTGTTTTTTGTTTTATTTTCAAAAAGAAAACATAAGAACACATTTGGAACTAAAACCTTCTTTCACAGTACTCTTAATTATATTTCTTTTATTCCCTTTCTCCCCCATCAGATCCGAGTCTCCCAAGGCAAAGAGCCTATTCACCTGCTGAGTTTGTTCAAAGACAAACCGCTCATTATTTACAAGAATGGAACATCAAAGAAAGGAGGTCAGGCACCTGCTCCCCCTACACGCCTCTTTCAAGTCCGGAGAAACCTGGCATCTATCACCAGAATTGTGGAGGTAATGTCATGCATTCCATAAAACATGTCCTAGTTGTGGACTTCCCAATGGACCTGAGCCATCAGCAAATATTAGACTTTAAAAACTTGGCAAATAAACTCCCTTCATTTCTATAATTAATCCACTGTTCAAAATTTTAAAAACACGAATAGCAGGAGAGTTGAATAAAAAGTAAAACTCCAGATACCAGGCCTCTCACATTTTTCAATTGCATTGAACCCAAACAAATAAATTTTTAAGAATACTATCACAAATTAGCTGTCAAAAGCATGAGGCTGCTTAAGCTCCATCTTGAAAGGCCTGAGGTGGATGGATCACGGGTGATGGTCAGGTGATTGACCACAGTGGAGACATTTGAGAGGGAAGGCCCTCGTTTGCACAAGTGTAACAAATATGGGAGGCATGTCCCACCACACTGGACTAGAACCGTAACTGAACTGGCCCCATGAGCTGTTTCTGACAGCAGCTGGGAGAGAAATCAGATCCCATGCCATGGTGCCATAAGATAAGGAGACCTCCAGGTATAGACAAGGCCAGTCTGCCCAGGTTTTTAAATAGCTAAGTGCTTTGACCTTAGCACAATCCGGTCACCCCAGTCACCATTGAAATCCAAGTCTTCCGCATCACCCTTACACTGCCCAGCATACTCTGCATATCAAGCCTGGAGCTGTCCCTCAAACTCCCGCTTCATACAAGTCAATCAGCAGACCCTTGAAACCCGGGTTGGTCATCTCATCCCTCCACCTGCGACCTCTTCTCTAAGCCTCCCTCTCCCTGCACCTGATTTCTCTACGACTGTCCTCTGAGGACAGATTCCCCTGCAGCCCTCTCAAGTGGAACTTATGTTTTCCCAAGGCCCACTCACCACGGCCTCAGGGATGGGGCTGGACAAGTTCCCCCCCTGCTCACCCTTATCTCTTTGATTTTATCTTGCCTCTCTCCTTTGTATCAGACTTTCCCTCCTCCAGACCTCTTGTGCTTTCATAGACTGAACTGCCAGTCTGTCTCCTCTTCTTTGATGACTTCAGCCATTATCTCACTATTTCCATCTCTTCAGCTTCTCTCTTCCAGCAGTCTTTTCCTTGACCGCATTTCATCTCATACTCACATGGTCCTATACTAAATTTTGCCATTTGCAATAACTATAGCTCCTCAGAAATCTGTTCCAGTCATCTAAACTCTGACAACTCTCTCCTGTCCTTTGGCTCCTTTACTCCAGAATGCACATTCTGGCAATTCTCCAGGCCTATAGCTGAATCCATGAACCCGCTGCCTCCTTCACACCCCACCCTTCATGTCCTCCTTTCTCCCCAGATCCCCAGCATCCCCTTCGCTCTACTGATAACTTTAATTTAGAGTTCACAGAGAAGATAAATCAGGCATAAAGCATCTTATCTACTCCCCTGCAACTTTATCAATTTGTCTGCATCTGTGTATATATTCTCTTTCCCTTCTCTTTTATGAAATAAATATCAAATTTTTATTTATGTTTTTAAGTTAATAAATATTTTATATTAGGAATTTCCATATGTGAAGTGTCTTATAAGTGATTATATACTATACATATTACATATATACTATTATCCATAAATTAACAATGAATAATGTATTTGTATACAGTTATATATCAATACATAATTTATTAAATGTTTATTACATAGACTATCCCTCCTATCTAAGGCCCAATTCCTCCTCCGCCCACCTGAACACCAACTTCTGTCCGGATCCTTCCCTTTCTTGCTTTCCTAAGAAATCTCCTGGATTTCTGTCTTTCCCGTGCATTTATTCCACTTCTAGTTCATCATGATTGCAGGCAGTAATCTCCTTTCATTCTGTATCATCAATTTATTTTTCTGTGTGGAATCATTCACTTTGAACTACAGAGATGACTGTAACAAAAACCTCCTGTCATTTCTTTAAAAATTGTGTCTTGACCTTGACCATTACCTTCTCTAGCTACTGCATCATTTCTCTGTCCTTCTTAAGAGCACATATCATTGAAAGGTTTGTCTTGAGCGTTTTCACTCACTCATCATCTCTATTTTTTAAAGCCAGTTCTCTCTAAAACCACCTCAATCAGGTGTCCATCCCACTAGTCCACTGAATTGGTTTTTATCTAGTTTACCGGTGACCTGCCGCATGCCACAATCAAAGGTCAGTTTTCTGATCTCGTTTTTCTCAACTTCCCACTAGCATTTGCCAGTCAGCCTTTCCAGTTTTATTGAGCACTTCTTTTTTTCACTAGGTGAATGTATCCCCACACTTACCATGGTTTCTTCCTAACCTATCGGCCACTCCTTTCGGGCCAGTTTGCTGTGTTTTCCTCTTCTGTTTGACCTCTAAGTTCTTCAGCGCCCCAAGCCTCGGCCTTGGCCCCTTCACCATGGTCTCATTCAGTCATATGGTTTAAATGCCAGCGTATGTATTGATCTCATCCAGAAACTTCTGTGCACGGATTCTTCTATGTTTAATTATGACTATTTGTTTTTGACATTTAAAAACTATCAAAATGACATTTAAGCATTCATTATCTATGGGCATTCTCCATGGATTTCAGATGGGAAAGTCAACCAAAATGCACCATTCTTACATTCTGATCTCTTCCCCAGTGGACATTCCTTTGTGAGACCTCATCAGCTGCTTGCGGTGCATCTCTTTATTCCCTTGCAGCCTCTCAAACCAGTTTTCACATTCCCAGCCTCTCTGAAATGCACCAGTCAAGATTATTTCACAAGTCTTCCTGTCTTCATCTGCTGGCAGTCTAAGTCTTTATAAGGTTCTATTTTAGATCTCATTCCCTGATCTCACACCAGTCTGGGCATAGATCTCTTGTCACCTTCTATCCGTCATCCTGGCTCTTTCTTCTGGACCCATAATGAGATGTATATATTAGAAATTGGAAGCCCTGGAAGCCAGACTTGGTTCCTGTAATTCTCCATCATCACATCTGATAGATTCCTTTGAGCTTGGTCTGTGAGGCCTCATTCCTGCTGGGAGAGGATTTTAACCATTTTCCTGAATGTTCCCAATTCCTGGACATGCCTTTAAAATTTTCAACAGCAGTTCCTTCCTCCTCTAGTGTTCTCTCCTTGGACAGGCTCCTGAGAAACCTGGTGAAATTCAACTCTCCACATCATGGATGCCTTCATCCTGGCAGTTCAGTGTAGATGGCCAAGCAGCATCATTTGGCACAGCAAATCACCCCTGCCTTCTTGAAGCATTTTCCTCACTTGGCCTCAAGATCACTACACTCTTGTTTTCCTCCTCCATCTCAGCTACTCCCCCTCAGTCTTGTTTATTGGTTCTTCTTCCTCTTTCTGGAATCACATATCACACTTGTTTGACAATTACGCAGAAAGTCATGCCAGTGACATAGTAGCACAGTCATATGGTCAGACAGGTTCTCACAGAGAAGGACACAGAGTCACAAATTCACAAGTGACACAGACCAAAGTGCTCCTACTCTAGGGTTTAAAACACCATAGTGGTGTCCCAGAGCTGCCCTGAATTAATTTCCTGGGATAGGGCAGAAGGCTATGTATGGTTTGCCACAGTCACAGCTTCTAGGACATGTTTATTGAGGGAGCAGCAATGAATTTGAATCACTGTTTTATTTTTCTTCATATTCCAGGTTGATGTTGATGCACATTCACTGAATTCTAACGATGTTTTTGTCCTGAAACTGCCACAAAATAGTGGCTACATCTGGATAGGAAAAGGTGCTAGCCAGGAGGAGGAGAAAGGAGCAGAGTATGTAGCAAGTGTCCTCAAGTGCAAAACCTTACGGATCCAAGAAGGCGAGGAGCCAGGTGTGTGCTGTGGGGCCAAGGGCAGTAACTAGATTTTATATTGATATGATTGCCAATCATCTTTTTTTTCACCAAAAAGTCACTTTCTAACGGCTTATAAGGGTTAACAATCTCTCCATTAGTTGCAAAGGTGGGTGGGTGATGGTACCTGATTCCTTTAAGTAACTTCTCAACATTGAAACCAAGGTGAGATGATATTTGTTCATATAAAGCAACAGCAAGCATGTGTTCCTGAAAATGCACTGGATAACTGAGTGTGTTTCCCACAGAGGAGTTTTGGAGTTCCCTTGGAGGGAAAGAAGTCTACCAGACCTCCCCACTACTGGAGACCCAGGCTGAAGACCATCCACCTCGGCTTTATGGCTGCTCTAACAAAACTGGAAGATTCATTGTAAGTGTCTTTAAAAATAGTGGGATAGGGCCGGGTGCAGTGGCTCGTGCCTGTAATCCCAGCACTTTGGGAGGCCGAGGCAGGCAGATCCCCTGAGGTCAGGAGTTTGAGACCAGCCTGACCAACATGGAGAAACCCTGTTTCTACTAAAAATACAAAAATTGGCTGGGTGTGGTGGTGCATGCTTGTAATTCAAACTACTTGGGAGGCTTGAGGCAGGAGAATCACTTGAACCCAGGAGGCGGAGGTTACAGTGAGCCAAGATCGCGCCACTCCACTCCACTCCAGCCTGGGCAACAAGAGCGAAACTCCGTCTTAAAAAAAAAAAGGTGGGGGGTGGGGGCAGGCGCAGTGGCTCACGCCTGTAATCCCAAAACTTTGGGAAGCCGAGATGGGTGGATCATGAGGTCAAGGAGTTTGAGACCAGCATGGTCAATATGGTGAAATCCCATCTCTACTACAAATACAAAAATTAGCCAGGCATGGTGGTATGTGCCTATAGTTCCAGCTACTTGGGAGGCTGAAACAGGAGAATCTCTTGAACCCGGGAGGCAGAGGTTGCAGTAAGCCGAGATCATGCCACTGGCATCACTGTGCTGCAGCCTGGACAACAGAGTGAGACTCCATCTCAAAAAAAAGAAAAAACAAAAAAGAGTGGGATGGAACCTAACAACGCCGGGAGGGGCAGTCCCATGTGGCTCTGACACTTTCAGACCTGCTACTATTCTGATTCTCAGTTTCTGCCTGCCTGCAAACCATGGTAACAACCTTGGCTCTACAGAGGGTTTTTTTTTTTAACTTTTATTTTAAGTTCAGGGGCATATGTGCAGGTTCGTTACATAGGTAAACTTGTGTCATGGGGGTTCGTTGTACAGACTATTTCATCACCCAGTTATTAAGCCTAGTACCCATTAGTTATTTTTCCTGATCGTCTCACTCCTCCCACACTCCACCCTTTGATAGGCCCCAGTGTGTGTTGTTCCCCTTTATGTGCCCATGTGTTCTCATCATTTAGCTCCCACTTATAAGTGAGAACCTGCAGTATTTGGCTTTCTGTTCCTTACACAGGGTGTTTTTAAGGGTTAATGGTGTAATTAATGTGAAAGCATTAATGTTGTGATGTCCTATATAGATTAAGCTGCTCTTAAAAGTACCAGCTACTTTACACCTGTGTGAGCATGCAGTTGCTGTATGAATATATATGTGGTTAGATTTGTTAATTTAATAATTTGGCATTTTCTATGGGCAGCAATCATTATTTCTGATTGAACTATGTAAATTTTACATGTCAATTTCCCAGCGGAGTAAAAAGTTTCACCATATTGACTGAATTAAAAATATTATGGAAATATTATGATCATTGAGCAAAAATCACAGAAAGCTATATATGTAGTTACAAATTAACTGACATCAACAGGAATGTTTTATTTCATAGTCATTTACAAGCTTTGACTTCCAGTCAGTCAGAAGTAAAATTAGAAGTATGTGTATGCATGTCTTAGTTCAAGCTCCTATAACAAAAATACCATTGACTGTGTGGTTTAAACCACAAACATTTATTTTTCACAGTTCTGAAGGCTGAGAAGTCCAAGATTAAGGCACCAGCAGATCTGATGTCTGGTGAGGGAACCACTTTCTAGCCTTCTTGTGTCCTCACATGGCCAAGAGAGCAAGCTCTAGCCTAGGTCTTTCCTTACAAGGACACTAAACAGGGTCACTGCACCCTAATGGCCTCACCTGAACCTAATTACCTCCTAAGGGCCCTACCTTCTACTACCATGCCATTGGGGGTTAGGGGTTTAACATAGGAATTCTGAGGGGAAACAAACATCCAATACAAAAGAATACAAGAGTGATTTTACACTGGGCTCTGAAATATCATCCTGAACCATAGCCTGTCACCTAAATTTCAAAAAAAAGTTATACTTTCTCTGTTTCACATGCTAAGTTTTTGCTAAATTTTTCATTTAAAGAATGAATTCCTCTTTTATATAAAATTTGATCTACAGATTTTGGTCAACATGTCCTAGTGAATAAATGTAAACTTTATTTTTCAACACAGGAAAGAAAATTTCCCATGTATTTTGCCAGATATTTTGATTACTAGAAATAAAATTACTTGAGATGAAGTGGTTCAAGTCCCCCTTGAAGCTTATAAATAATTTGACCTACAAGTTAAAGATTTAAACAGTGCATTGAGATAAATATTTGGTTGCTGTATACCACATTTGCTCACCTACTTTACAGGAAATCCCTGAACTTGCTGTATTTTATGGATTTGTCATCAGAAAAATCTTCTGTTTTATTGTTTTGACTGATAACTTGATATTGCATCCAAGCAACTTATTTTTCAGCATATGCTTCTATAATTTCTTATTATAATTATTTGTTAACATTGCTATAAATTAGATGTTTGTTTCCAAGAAAGATGTATTTTACAAAAATAAGTACCTAGGCTTTGTTCTCAGTGTGTTTAAAAAAAATAATTGTTAGTCTTTGGCTTTTTGTTATGCACATATATTAGCCTTTAAGAGAAATATAAATTTCCTCTGCACCAACTCATTTTCTTGTTTGATGTTTGGAACCCCTTGCGCTCCCTTTATAGTTTAAGGCAACAGATTGTTGCTAACAAGTATTCGATCTTATAATTACTATCAGAAAGTAGGCTTTACATGTGTAGATTCCTACAAGGCAGCTACAAGGCAGCAGAGCTTATTAGCTAAAAGCACAGCTTTTGGAACCAATCTGCCCATGTGCTGTCACTTACCTGGGTAGTACTTGCTGGCTGTGTGACGTTAAGCTGGTTACTGAGCCTATCTGTGCTGTAGTTGTCTCAACTCTAAAATGGTGGTAATCATAGTGCCTACTTCATAGGGTTGTTGTGAATATTAAATTAGCTGTTGCATATGAAAGATTAGAACAGTGCCTGACATCAAGTAAGTGCTATTTAAAGTTTTTCTTTTTAAAATCATTACGTGATTGGTATATGTCCTATAAAAATAATATAAACAAATCCTTTGCCCTCTAAATGGTCAAGGTTTTTTGTTTTATTTTGTATAACAATCTCAAAATCTCATCAGATTACAACAAACATGAATTGTCATGCTCAGATGTCTGCAGGCTGCCTGGAACTAGGTTCATCTATGCTGGGCACATGTTTGGGGTTTATACATATTTTTCCAGTGACAAAGCCAAAGACACAAAAAGGCCCTTGCTGAGTCACCTTTGCTAATATGACATGGCCAAGGCCCCAGTGAGCTCCACAGCACTGCAGAGTCACATGCCAGAGGGAGTGAATAAAGAACTGGGAACCATAATCCTAATTCCTGCCTTAAGGATCCAGGGGGGTTTTCACCCACAATTCTCTAAAAATACCGAACTTTAGATTAATACATGCCCATTGGTATTGGGTGGATGAAGCTAACCCTCCCATTACCCTTTAATGCTATAACTATAATTTAACACAATTAAAAATAAAAATAAAAAAATTTGTACATGCAATATTATGTTATAATGTCATCTTATTGAAAATTTTTGATGTATTAAAATGACCAGGCCTATTGACTTTCTTTTTTTTTTTTTTTTTTTTTTTTGAGATAGAGTCTCCCTCTGTTGCTTAGGCTGGAGTGCAATGGCACAGTCTTGACTCACTGCAACCTCCACCTCCCAGGTTCAAGCAAGTCTCCTACCTCAGCCTCCTGAGTGGCTGGAACTACAGGCGCCTGCCACCACACCCGGCTAATTTTTGTATTTTTAGTAGAGACGGGGTTTCACCTGTTGGCTAGGCTGGTCTTGAACTCCTGACCTCATGATCTGCCTGCCTTGGCCTCCCAAAGCGCTGGGATTATAGGCATGAGCCATGATGCTCGGCCCTATTGATTTTTTAAAAGTAATCTTGACCTACAAAATGAAAGATAATTTAATACTCGGACCATAAACTCAATGTTTTTAGGAACTAGATAGGCAACATAAATCTGTGAAACAATTAGTCATAAGGGACTGGAAGTATAGAGGATTGTGAGTAAATTGACTATATATGTGGGCATTCAAATATGCCAACCTTAGGGATGAGATTTAGAAAATATGATTCAATATATAGTTTATTGAAATGCCAGGCTTGAGGATAGCTACCCGGGAAACACTAACTCCAAATGAATGGGGCCAGTGTTTTAAAGTGGAGGAGTTGAAGTTTCACTGACAATAGGCAGAAACAGAGAAATTATAGCAGGTTTATGTAATTTTTTATGTAAGACCAGTGCATACTGATAGTGATTTGACTGGTTACAGATTGCTATTAATACTTTCCAAGGAAGAATATGTTCTTACTTTGTGAGGAGTAATGATCTGAGGGGGGTCTTAGCTCTGCACCCTTTGGTCTTCCGAATTATTTGCAGAAAAAAAGGCAAAAGCTTGAGTGCATGCCTCAAGACTCAGGCCACATAGCCACATTCCTCTCAAAGCTCAGAATAATTTAAGGTTCCACCAGCTTTATATTTGGATTATTTAATTTCACAAATGCAATGTTTATATTAAATACTGTGCTGGCCAAATAAAATACCACCAGTTTGTGATGCCAAATTAATGATCAATTATTTAAAATTTTATTACCTGAAAAAGAAGAAAAAAATTACTACCAAATTTTATTTTCATTATACTCAAAAAAAAAAAAATGCAGGGCATTTGTATCCTATGTATTAGAAAAATCACTGCTTTACTGTTTGCTCATATAGCTTTTTATACCTTTCAGATTGAAGAGGTTCCAGGAGAGTTCACCCAGGATGATTTAGCAGAAGATGATGTTATGTTACTAGATGCTTGGGAACAGGTACAACTACATTTTGTTCATAACAAGAGAATGCATTCTTGGTTGAAAGATGACAGAACTTGCTTTGAGAAATGGTAAATCTAGATATAAATGAGCCTAGAGATTTAGGCTGTATTAAAAATACACACACATTTGGTAAAAAATGAAACTAATACATATGGCAAGTTGATTTCTTCCTATGAAAATAATTCCAGAGCTACCATCTTTGGCTTTACAGTTATAGGCAAAAAAAACTGTTATTTTTCATTTATTTGTAAAAATTACTCATTCCTAATTTGTTTATAATTCATTTCATAAGTGTATTGGTGTGTACAGTGTCATGGGGGTACAATGCCATTGAGGAAACCAACATATTCAAAATTTCTCTTGAAATTTGACAAGAAGTCATGGGTGCCCCTCCCCTGGGGAAGAAACAAGCAGAATAGTTTTGAATCTACACAGTAAAATATGTTACTGTTTTATTTATCTTAATTTTCAAGGAAATTAACGGTGATGTGACATGCCACATCTGATAGGTTTTTAGCCTCTATGTAAATTAACAGTGAAAGAGAAAAGTAAATATATTATGAACTAAATTATATAGAGCAAGTGTGAAATGCTTATCTGAATTAGGCCTAGTCTTAGAGGCAAGCACAGAGATTGTTCCTTTTAAGTTTGTTCCCAACTGATAAACCATTCAGTTATGTCACACTCTAGCTTCTGATCTACAATGAACATGTTTGACTTGAGGGCCCAGCCTCAGATTCTTGCCAAGTGAATGGAGTACTTATTTCTAGATGAGATTTAAATCTCCAAGTCAATAAAACACTCTTGTGTATTTAAGAATTAAAGAAGAATTACACTTCCTTATTCAGATATATATTTAATTTTTCTCATTTGTAGTCAACTCTTGTTTCTGTAATCATGGATACTTTTTAGAATATTTACCAAGCCACATTTCATTTTTTAAAGTCATACTTTTTATTTACATTACCATGCTGTCATGGTTTGTTCTGTGCCCTGCACACGAATATTTCAGCACTTTCAGTATGAATTAGAATACAGTCTAAACATAACTGACCAAAATTGCTCTGCCACAAGTGATTTTAAAGTGATTTCAATATAAGGTAATTCAGGAAATTTTTTCAGCATTAAAGTACCCCCACCCACACATTTGACAAGGAGAAGGATATATACAGATTATATAATTATATAATTATATCAATTTTTTAAAAAAATTGCTATTTAAATACTAAACATTATAGCATTTTTACCAACATCTTATAGGGAGGGCACGCTACTAGAAGAGAAAAACACTAACCTTAAGTCAGAGGTTCCTGGAGGGAGTCTGGGATCACCCACAGACAAGCTCTGTGTCTACATGTAGTCCCTTCCAGCCAAGATCCACATCTAGGAAATGGGGATAATGACTGTGTAAGGGCCCAGGGAAAATTTCCCCTTCACTCTCCAAAGGTTCATACAAATATCAGTTGATAAAAGGCAGATTAATAGGAGAAAAGGCATACAAATATATTAATGTGCACAGGAGTCATACAGAATGCAAGAACTGAAGAAATGGCTGGATGGTTGATGTTTTTGTACCATTTGGAAGTTACAGAAAGAATGGGGGATTGGAGGATGGCAAAACTGGTTATGGGAGAAGAGGCCTGGCTAGGAAAGGTGGTCTTGTTATGAAGAAAACCTCACATAAAGTATAGATGGTAAATGTTTCTTTCAGACCTTTAAGGGTATGAGACTCTCAGTTAATCTTCCCTAGATCCCGAAAAGGGAGGGCCTCAGAGAAAGCCCGGCTGCACCAATGCAGATTCTCTACAGATGCAGCTCTTCCCCCACAAAAGGCAGCTTTGCAGGACTATTTCTCTTTGCAAGCCCTCTGAATAGCCATCTCAAAATATGTCAAAGAAGTGTATTCGGAGGTGAAATATTTTGGTTTCCTTCGACTGACTGCTGTCACACCCTAGGGGGTGGATGAAAAAAAAATCCACCCAATCTGTTGTTTTTGTGAAAGATCACTTCACAAACTAGAAAATACCATGTAAACATAAAATATCCAAGTGTGAAATCTGAAGTGAAACTGGCTAAATGTAAGTTTAGGTGTCTCCTGATGAGTGTGAACACTGGGAAAGTGATGGTACCTTTCTGGGCCACTGCCTCCACGTCCCTAACTTCTGCGGATGTTGTGAGGATTCAATGAGCAGTGTGTGCGTGAAGCACTTTACACAGGGCCTAGCCTGAGTCAACATCCCAGAAACCATACATATTGTTATTGTTTCATTTTTCAGATATTTATTTGGATTGGCAAAGATGCTAATGAAGTTGAGAAAAAAGAATCTCTGAAGTCTGGTAAGCTCAATTGATGGACAATTATAGTAGTAACCAGGCACCATTATGACCGAGTGTCTGACTGCTCTTTGCCACCATGTCTTACAAAACTACGTTTCAAAATCAAGAAGTAGCTTAGCATTCCTCCTCAAAACTAAAGAGTAATGGGATTTTTTGAACTGGAGAATTTCCAGATGGGCACAAGAAAAAATATGTTTTGTTATCTAATCTAGAATAGAATTATATCAATTTAACCTGAAAAACTTAAATTCATTTCAACCCTTGTTTTATTATGATAAGAGTAAAACCTCCATGACTGTGATAAGCCAGATTTTTTAAACTTCCTTTTGACTAAAGCTGTTCTTTCTGGCACAATTTTCCTTTTACTGAAAAGTGTAACAATAATTATGCCACCAGAACAATTCTATAAAACTTGGAATTTTTTCGGGCATTGATGAGACTCGCATGTTGCTTTTCATGGCAGATGAGAGAAATCAAAAAGAAATTGTATTTGTCTACCTGGTCAATGGCAATTTAATTTATTACTTTCATTTGAAGAACTGTATTCGAAGAATTTTCATTTTCAATGTGGCCAATATTTATTTGTTCTTCTGGAAATTTAATTTATTACTTTTATTCGAAGAATTTTCAATCTGCAGTTACTTTAGTTTAACCCAAACTAACTGAATTTATGTGTCTTTACAACTGTTTTTAGCCAAAATGTACCTTGAGACAGACCCTTCTGGAAGAGACAAGAGGACACCAATTGTCATCATAAAACAAGGCCATGAGCCACCCACATTCACAGGCTGGTTCTTGGGCTGGGATTCCAGCAAGTGGTAAACTGGTGTTTGTAAAAAGCAAACAAACATTACAAGGCAGTTATCTCATTGCTCTTTTGGGAGAGGAACAGGAAAAGCTTTTTGTTTATTTGTCTTTAGAAAATTAAGGCCGGGTGCAGTGACTCACACCTGTAATCCCAGCACTTTCGGAGGCTGAGGCAGTCGGATCATTTGGGGTCAGGATTTCGAGACCAGCCTGGCCACCATGGCGAAACCCCGTGTCTACTAAAAATACAAAAAAAAATTAGCTGGCATGGTGGCACATACCTGTAATCCCAGCTACTTAGAAGACTGAGACCGGAAAATTGCTTGAACCTAGGAGGCTGAGGTTGTGGTGAGCCGGGATCGTGCCACCACACTGCAGCCTGGGCAACAGAGACTCTGTCTCAAAAAATAAATGAATAAATAAAAAATAACCTCAACCAAATGCCTATTTTTTAATGCTTAATTTTGGTTTGAAATTCTTCTTAAACTGGAGCTTTCTTACGTTAATACATTCAAATAACCTGAAGGAAACTTTCATTATGGGCCAATATTAGCTCTTCTGGAAACTGATTTATATCTTTTTTATGACCTTTCAAAAGTAAAATACTATGCATAATCTAGAGAGATTTGTCAGATAGGAAATTTTATAATGCATTAGCCATTAGTCAAACTTGTTTTTTAACATGCCAGAGAAAAAGTTGTAATGCCTTGGAAGTTTTTCTCTTTTCTATAGATGGTGTTCAAATGATTTGTATACTTGCAATAAGGTTTATGTTAAAGTGGCTTTAACAATTTGTTGCTATTTTCCTTCTTTAGTCAATGTGACTTTGATGCCATTAACTCCTACGTGTTATTTTCTAAGAGAAATTTTATCTTTTTTTAAAACCTTATTAAAAGTCTTTGAAAGCACAGCTCTTTCATGACAAAATGAATTGCATTGTTATCCACTTAGATAGATAGATATTTGACAGTACATGTTTAATATCACAAAAGATACATACAGAAAAACTTCACTAATGCGGTCTTTAATTATTAAAATACATCTCTGAAAGTTTTGTGTTATGACATTTTATTCAAATTTGATGAGTTAATTACAGTATTAATTTTAAGGTCAAATACATCTATGCATAAGTAGATTTGAGTTTAATGTTTCTTAATTCATCCTCATTAAGTGGTCAAAATTAAACAGCTGTTCATGGTCAGATCATTATGAAAAGTTTGAAATATGAGATTGCATGTGAAACACAGGTCCCCAGAAAACAGGAGTTGGGACAGAATCTGGAGCCCCAGTAAAGTAGGAACTGAATTTGGTCATTGGATAGAGGACTGGGTAGTTGAGGAGGGGAAGCTGCATTTCCATGGGAAGAAGAAACGAAGCAGGGAAGTGACCTGAGGAGTTTTTACCTTTTCTCTGGGGAAACGAAGGGCATATGTGTTTCAAATTGAGTCCTGGTCTGGAGAAGTGGGCCCAGTTTTATTATGGCCTAATAGTGAATGCTCCCGTGAAATCCTGGAGCTTGCACAGGAGGTAAGGAAGCAGAGAGAAGCTGTACTTCAAGGCACTATTCATTCAAAATGTCTATTCAGTATCAGGCACTATTCCAGGCACTATGGACTCAACATGAATGAAACAGACAAAATCTAAACTTTTATGGAGTTTATATTCTAGGGAAGAGAAAAAAAACAAAAAGCAAAAACAAATCAACACATAGAGATATTATAAAATACATTAGAAGATATGCCCTGTGAAGAAGAAAATTTAGGAAAGGAGCTAGGCAATACTAATAGTATGGTCAAGGAAAGCGTGGTTAAGTAGGCGATATCTAAACAGAAAATCGAGGCCAGGCACGGTGGGTCACGCCTCTAATCCCAGCACTTTGGGAGCCTGAGGCAGGTGGATCACTTGAGGTCAGGAGTTCGAGACCAGCCATGGACAACATGGTGAACCCCGTCTCTACTAAAAATATAAAAATTAGCCAGGCGTGGTGGCATGCTCCTGTAATCCCAGCTACTCAGGAACCTGAAGCAGGAGAATCGCTTGAACCTGGGAGGCAGAGGTTGCAGTGAGCTGAGATCACGCCATTGTACTCTAGCTTGGGCAATAAGAGTGAAACTCTGTGTGAAAATAAATTAAAAAAAAAAAAAAAAAAAGAATCGATAGCGAGTGGGGAGTGAACCTCAGGGTTACAACCAGGCCGAAGGAGTACCAACAGCAAAGGCCTTAAAAGGAAAGTATGCCTAGTAGAATGGGCTGAAGTCTAAAGAAACAGGGAGATTCCACAGGGTTCTCTTCTACTGTCACCGCTGGACCAGAAAAAAAATCATTGCAGCCTGAGCTGCGAGAATACTGCCTTTCCAAATCCCAAACCCAGGGAATCAGAGACAGTGATGGTAACAAGACAGCAGCATCAGGCTGGGCGGTGGCTCACGCCTGTAATCCCAGCAGTTTGGGAGGCCGAGGTGGGTGGATCACGAGGTCAGGAGATTGAGACCACCCTGGCTAACACGGTGAAACCCTGTCTCTACTAAAAATACAAAAAATTAGCCGGGCATGGTGGCGGGTGCCTGTAGTCCCAGCTACTCAGGAGGCTGAGGCAAGAGAATGGCATGAACGCAGGAGGCAGAGCTTGCAGTGAGCTGAGATCACACCACTGCACTCCAGGCTGGGCAACAGAGAAAAACTCTGTCTCAAAAAAATGAAAAATAAAAAGACAGCAGCACCAATAGCACAAGCACTGTGGGAGGGAAGTACCTATGCCCATTGCCCAGCCTGACCAGTAGAGGTGAACACAAATTGTCAGCAACTATAGCTGCTATTGCAAGAATACTTATGAGCCCTATGGAGTTGGCATTTTAATTTCACAACTAAAGCTGATGTGGCTTGAAGAAACATCTGCAACACAAGTAAAATCCACATAAAACAAAAACAAAACCTACTTCTAAAAAGGTGAACATTTGCGGGATTAAAGAAAATTATTCTAGAGAGTGTTCCATTGTTCAATGATACTGTGTAGTCTTAAAACTCAAATTACATGTAATTCCTTATAGAAATTAGTCCTTTGGAATTGAAATGCAGTTTCATATAGCCTAATTAATAAATGGAAAAGTTTTATAATTACTTTCTTATTTTTCTTTGGTGAAGCTAATATTAATTTTTAATATGAAATATTAGAAATTCTCTGCTTTTACTCATGGATTTTGGGGATCAGAAACCAAAATAAATGTATTTATCCTCAGCTACCAGTGCTTTACAGACCCTTTCTTGCCCCAAACAATATAGCACACTCCTAGTTGTGTGAAATTTGTGACTAACAAACACTATATATATATGGATATATATATATAAATGAATCCAGAAAAATCAAGTACTAATCAGGAATAATTAATCTGGTAAGAAATAATAAACTGGGCACAGTGGTATGTGCCTGTAGTCCCAGTTACTTGGGAGACTGAGGCGAGAGGAAGTTTAAGGCTATAGTGAGCTATGATAGCAACTGTGAATAGCCACAGTACTGTAGCCTGGGCAACACAGTGAGATTCCATCTCTACAAAAACAAAAATAAAAATAATTTTTAAAAGAGTAGCACATCTCAAGAATTAAAGAATCAAATTGTGGCATTAGTTTGAGCAAAAAACCAGGAAACATAGTTCCCAGGTAAGATCAACAATTGTTTTATGGCCTTAGCTATCATTTGTTTGCTTTGTTTTGCAAGACAATCAGTAAACTGACTTCAAAACAATTTCTGGATTGTATAGGTTATTCAGAGGGATATAATTCTAATCAAAATGAAGAAAAGAATAATAATATTCACTATATATACAGGATGGGTGTGTTGTAATTTTTTAATGTATTTTCAAAAATTGTTTGTCTTGCTCTGTCATCTTATTTTCTCTTCACTATGTTGACTCCCCTTTTAATTTTAAAGACTTATGTTAGAATTTTTAAAGTATGATATGTATTATGCATATTCTCTAATTTTTTTTTTTTTATTAAATACCAACTGAGCTTATTGTGCTACCTAAAATATTCATGATGCAATGCTTTGGTCTTAAAGGAAAAACAAAAGTTGGATCCACATCTTACTATATGTGCCTGGATAAATTCCATGTAGTTCACAAATTTTAATGTGAAAATGAAACATGAAAATAATGGAAGAATACACAGAATTACATTGGAAGAGGGAAATCATCTCATAGTAGCTTACAGAATAAGAAGAAAATCAGCAAGAATCTAAAAGACTTGAACAATACTTTCAACCAACTTAACCGATTTCATATTACTGAACACCACCAATAATACCAGCACGTATATTTGTTTTTTAAAGCAACTTGAAATATTTACCAAGATAGAAAATATTCTAGGCCATAAAACAAATGCCAACAAATTAAAAAGATGAAATCATACAAACTGTGCCTCTAATTACAATGGAATTAATTGAGAAATCAAAAACAGATATCTGGCAAGTCCCCAAATTTGGGTAAAAGAAGAAATCACAAGAGAAATTAGAAAAATTTTTAAAGGAAATTTATAGCATTAAATGCTTACATTAAATAAATAAAAAGCCCTCAAATCAATAATCTAAGTTCTTATCTTATGAAATTGAAAGATGACAAATTATACCCAAAATAAGCAGAGAAAAGGGAATGATAAAGAACAGATTTTTTAAAAACTAGAAAAAATAAAGTCAAAATTTGGTTCTTCTGAATCATAAAATGATAAAATTCTAGCCAGACTAATAAGATAAAAGGGGGGAAACATAAATTACTAATATAAAGATTAAGAAGGATACCACCACTGATCCTAAGGACGTTAAAATATGTAAGAGAAATAATTTATGCCAATAAACTTGACATTGATAAAATGGATTCATTGGGAGGCAGAAACTACTAAAGCTAACTCAAGAAGACATGGACAGGTAATCTAAGTAGGAATATGCACATGCATGTGCACACGCACACACATACACACACACACATTAAAGAAATTAAATTAATCCTAGCAGTTTGTGAGGGCAAGCCAGGTGGATCACTTGAGCCCAGGAATTTGAAATCAGCCTAGCAACATGCAAAACCTCATCTCAACAAAAAGTACAAAAATTAGCTGGGCATGGTGGTGAGTGCCTGTGGTTCCAGCTACATGGGAGGCTGAGGTGGGAGGATCACTTGAGCCCAGGAGGTGGAGGTTGTAGTGAGCCAAGATTGCACCACTGCAATCCAGCCTGGGCAAAAGAAAGAAAGGAAATAAAAAAGAAATTATAGTCAAACTTTTCTCTTTTTTTGAGACTCCAGGATTTTCCTCTGTTGCCCAGACTGGAGTACAGTGTCGCAATCACATGCACTGCAGCCTGGACCCCATGGACTCAAGTAATCCTCCCACCTCAGCTTCCCAAGTAGCTGGGACTCACAAGGACATGCCACCACACCTGGCTAATTTGTTTTTAGGTTTTGCAGAGATGGGGCCTTGCTATGTTGCCCATCCTGTTCTGGAACTCCTGGGCTCAAGTGATCCTCCCTCTCTTCAGCCTCCCCAAGTGCTGAGATTAAAAGTGTGAACCACAGTGCCCAGTCTAAACATCTCACAGAGAAAAAGCCAGGCCTGTTTGCGCTTCACTGGTGATTTCTGTTAAACTTTTAAGAAAGTTTGCCACAGATTGGGAGGAAAGTAATAAGAAAGTAATAAAACCAGTATTCCTCATAACATGGATGTAAAAATATTAAAAGTTTATCAAATTGAATCCAGCAATATATAACTTGGTTTTATCCCAGGAATTCATTTTAACATTTAAAAATTAATCAATAACTTTCCATATTAACAGACTAAAAACCATTTGAACACCTGAATAGATACAGAAAAGCAGTTGATAAAATTCTGCAACCATTCATAGTAAAAATTCTCAGCAAAGTAGGAATAGAATGGAAGGTCTTCCATCTTAAAAAGAGTATCCACAAAAAATGTACAGCTGACAGCATACTTCAGAATGGAAAATTAAATATTTTGCACTAAGATCTGGAACAAGAGATGGATGTTTGTTCTCACCTATTCTGTACTTTGCAGGAGGTCCTAACGTATCTAACAAGGCAGTTTCTCAACCTTGGCACTATAGACACATAAATAATTCTTTATTTTGGGGGGCTGCCTGTTTATTATAGAATGTTTAGTAACATTGCTGGCCTCTGCTTGCCAGATACCAGTGGCATCCTCCTCTCCCAAGACCTTCCCTCTTGGTTTGTGTCCACTTTCTACATCTTCAAAGCCAGCAAAATAGCATCTTCAAAATCTCTGTCTTCCTGTCTGGCCTCTGTTTCTGTTGGTTACATCCCCTTCTCTGTCTCTGATTCTCCTGCCTCCCTCCTTCACTTATAAGAACCTTTTGCTTACGTTGTCCAATGGTCCAATGGATTATTGAGCCATCAGATAATGCAGGATAATCTCCTCCATCTCAAGATCCTTAATTTAATCACATCTGCAAAGTCCTTTTTTTCGCATGTAAACTAACATTCACAGGTCCTAGACATCTTTGTCACAGTATGTAGACATATTTGGTGGGATGCTATTCTGCCTGGGTAAAAAGGTGTACAGTGAAGCTAGCATTCTAGTCAGTTGGTATATTGGGTAAAAGCTGATATCTTGAAAAGCTGGTCAATATTCCCACTCTCTTCCATTAACTCTACCATCAGGCTAGACCTCTATCTATCTATCTATCTATCTATCTATCTATCTATCTATCTATTTATCGAGACAGGATCTCACTCGGTTGCCCAGGCCAAAGTGCAATGGTGGACTCATGGCTCACTGCAGCCTCGACCTCCCCAGCCTCAGGTGATTCTCCCACCTCAGGCTCCTAAGTAGCTGGGACCACAGCTGTGCACAACCACTACTGGTTATTTTTTTTTTTTTTTTTTTTGTAGAGACAGGGTTTCATCATGTTGCCCAGGCTGGTCTTAAACTACTGGCCTCAAGTGATCCTCCTGCCTTGGCCTCCCAAAGTGCTGAGATTACAGGCATGAACCATTGTGCTGGCCTCCTCATTTCTAAAATAGAAAATAATTGGGCCAGGCATAGTGGCTCATGCCTATAGTCTTAGCATTTTGGGGGGCCGAGGCAGGAGGATCACTTGAGCTCAGGAGTTTGAGACTAGCCTGGGCAACATGGTGAAGCTCCAACTCTACAAAAAATACAAAATTTAGCCAGGTGTGGTGGTGCATACCTGTGGTCCCAGCTACTTGGGAGGCTGAGGGGAGAGGATCCCTTCAGTCTGGAGGTGAAGGTTGCAGTGAGCCATGATCATGCTGCTGTACTCCAGCCTGGGCAATAGTCAGAGCCTGTCTCAAAAAAACAAATAAATAAATAAAATAAAAAATAGCAACTTTGGGAAAAATATAGTCAATATTTCATCTCTTTCATAATCCTTGAAAAATTTCTGTTCTTGTTTCAATCTGACAATCTTTCATACTTGGGCAGAAATAAAAACCTCATATACTGGGTTCATATAAGGCTATTGGTATCTACACAATTACAGTAACACTACCTGAAATACAAAAGTATATGTGGGACAATTATGGAAACAAGAGAGTACATAGGATATTTCAGTTGAGTTAAACCAAAAACAAAATATTTTAAACTAAGGATCTAATTTCATAAGATTACTTTGAGCTTTGGATTTTGAGAGTGATATTTTTCTATTCTCAGTTACAGGATATCTGTAGATGTTATGTATTTTACAATCCAGGAAGGACATCGCTGGAAAGATAACATTCTCAGCAGGTCACCAGTCAGGGTTAGCCAACAGGCTTCTAATGGTACATAGTATTTCACTCAGGTTTGATAAAGAGAAATCATTATTTTGAGATTTCTACTTCTGAATACAAATGTGCTTCAAAAAAGGTCATATTTTATAAGGTCAAGTATTATTTTATGTGAACTTTTATGGAGGGCACCAGAGTGAACATTTATTTTACAGTCCTTGAATCAGCTGCTTATTTCTGTCTGCATTCTATTCTTTCCTTTGTAATGTCTCAGGCCCCATGAGGTCATGAGTAACTCAGAACAAAAAGCTTATATAATGCCTAACTGGCCTCTCTAAAATCCATACATCGATGATTTCTATGATGACACTGCTAAAGAGAATAGGTCACCATCAAACATAGCTATAAATATTTATCAAGGAATTTCATAAATTATATGAGAGCAAATCACCTCATACTTCAACACCAAAACTGCCACAAGTCCAGAAGAATGTGTAGGCAGAAATGGTCACCGAATAGTGATTCCCAAAATTTTAATGAAAAAAAGTTAATAAGAAAAAAACCTGAAAATTATGTCCTATTTCCTAATAAGGATTGCAGGTATTCTATAGCTTGCAAAAATATGTTACGCTCCTAAAATTTTGAGCTTTATGTGTTTTTAAAAAATGTATTTTATACTCATTGGATTTTAAGGTAACAAGTGAGACCAAAAATAAAGGGCATAATTTCATTCAATTATCCAGGCATGGCTTTTCTGCCCGCAGGAAAGTAAACTTTCAAGTAAATCTTGGTGGAACCAGATTCTTTCCTGGGTATTCCCAAGATGACACCTAATAGCCAAATATAACTGACAGATAACTGATACTGTTGGAGTTCCATTGCTTTGTCTGAAAGCAGTGTGGTTGATTCCAATAGCGATGCAATACTGTAGAACACTGCATGGTGTCTTGATAGGTCCTTTAATTAAAAGACCAGATACAGGGCCAGATATACTAGGTGAACCACTTCATTGCTTTTTGATCTTAGTTTCTCTAAGCATGTATTTTCCTGACTACTCACCTCACAGTCTTTCACGGAGGAGTATGAATGCTGGGAAAGAAACCAGAACAGCTGCTGGAAGTCAGGAGGAAGTAGTTGAGCTGCTACCCCCGGCTAAGCCAGCTGAAAAGAGAAGGAAGACATGAACAAGAGCATGGCACAGTGTCAGAATATACATAATATGAAGACAGAGAAACTTTCTGAACAAAACCGAATTAAACCAACATGTCAAAAAGTGGATATGATGAGGAAAGGAGATATAAGCATAAATGTTCAATTACTCATGGAAACGTTCTGGAAAACAAAAGGGGGTGAGGAGGTAGTGGGAAAAAACTCAATGATTGCCCAAAATAAATAATAAATAAAACAAGAATGCTGATGAGGGTAGGGTGATGATGGAAAAAATTGAATGCCAGAAACTATTGCTAGTTTGTAGTACTTTGTGCTTGATGAGGTTTATTATATATGCAGAGGTGAGAAGTGAAAAATAGGATGAAAAACACCTGTGTAGAAGATAGGGGAAACTCCTTCAAAACATAAAGACAAATTTATCTCTTATAATAATATTATAAGCTGTTTTACATATTTACTATTCCCACCTTTTGCATTTACTCTAAATAGACTATTTATAGTAAAGAAGACTTCTGACATCAAACACATCAATAAGAAATGTAGATTTTATCGAACATTCCAGTAAGTAAAAGGTAAAAGTTTACAGAGATACTTTCCCTTAAAAAAAAAAAAAAAAGTGTGACTTGAATGACAAAAAAATTAAAAAGCTGAATGAATGTATTGCAAATAAAAATTATTTTAATTGATTGGCGAATTGGTGCTGATAAACAGTCTGAATATTTAAAAGTATGAAATGTAGATTAAAAATGTGTAATTTTTATGTAACCTAGGAGCTAAAACTATTGTTTCTAAATATGCATGCCATTCTTCCCAACAGATGTGAAAAATCTGCTAAATGATCTCCATTATCCATTCTTCTCTTTTCTCTTTTAGTAACAGAAACCCTGCCTGCATATCCTAATAGGTCACATTCCCTGGCAGTTAAAATGTGGTCATCTGACTAAATTCAGGCCAATGACACACAAGCAGAAGTTCTATGAGTTATGAGGGCAGATTTCTTGTCACCTTCTTAAAAAGGAAGCTCTTTGTCCTCCACTTCTCTATTCCTTTCCCACTGGCTGAGAAATGATGAGAGCTGGAATAGCCACTTTGAGGCCAGCGATGGAAACCACACATAGCAGATGGCAGAGCTTCCCTGTTATAACTTGATGTGCTCATTTTATGACTGAGAGGCAAGGGCACACATTCCATTTTATTGAATAAAGTGTTGCATGGCAAAGAAAAATAAATTTGTAAAGACTGATAAAAATATATTCTACCTTGTTTCAGCCAGTGCATTTCAGAATCTCATTGTTAAGCAGTTTAGTCTGGACCCTAATTAATATAAAAACTAGTATCAGAAGTGGGATGTTCCTTAAAAATGTCCTAGTTCTGCCTTACTTGTAGACTTGCTGAGAGCGAATAAGTAGATTTTGTGAGCTGGGAGGCCAGTCATCCCTTCTATGATAAAACATTAAGTAAAAATTTTAACAGTAGTTATAAAGTCTCTATTTCCTGGAAGACAGGTTTGGAAAATTCAGGATATTAATGTATATTGGTTGTTCCTTGCTGCTCTCAGCAATGTGCTATAAGACAGAGAGTAAGGCAGGCAAAAATTAATCAATTTAATGCAGAGATGAAAGGGGATACAATTCTGCTCCATTATCAGCAGATGGCAAGCAATCTAAATTGACTGAAGGATTAGTAACTGGGAGAACTCAACTGTTTCTATGAAGAAAATAACAGCAGTTATGTTGTTACTCAGGACCTTGCTCAAGAGCCTTCCCTTAAGTGTTTGCAACCGAAAATAGAGACCAATGCAGACACAAAATCAGATTAAGGATGTTGTTTCCCTACCAATGTGGCTGCTATTAATTCGAGGAAGAGAGTGACAATAGCATTGTTATATTCAGATAAAGCCTTTGTGGTTTCTTTCATATACAACTGCCTGGAACCAAATAGACCAGGAGTCAACTATGGTTTTGAGCATACCATATTCCAAAAAACTTGCAAACCTAGTTTACAATGACATGTGAATGTGTAATCATATAGCATCGCCTAAGACTTTAACCTGAATCAGCAGAGAGTTAAGAAACTTATGCTGTCTTCAGCTCAAAACCTAGGATTGCTTGGCCATTATCACATCTAAAGTGGAAAAGAAGCTATGCCTTAGCATTCACTGTAGGTGTGCCCCAAAGGATTGTGGACATGGAGCAATTTCCCTAAGGGCAAAGCCAGGAGATCAAAAAGACAATGGACAGGGGAGTATCCCAGGGAGCAGAGCCAAGTTCAAGTAAGTTAATGATATCAAGTTACTTACTGGCAAGTAGCCGCTAGAGAATCTTAGCAATTTTTGTCCTGCAAGATTTCAGTAAAGCTATAGACATGTGGGTTTTTATGTTTCCCATTCTTCCCTTTACCAAGTAACACTTTTTATCGCAGTTACCCTGATTCTATTCCATTCCATTCTATTATATTCTTTCATTCTATTTTATTTCCAATATACCATTGTATATCAGTATATACTGATACACTGAGTGGCAGTTACATTATCTACTAGTCTATATAGGTCATTGAAAAAGAAGAAGCTACATTAGGACTCATGGAAAGAACTTTGCCTCATGTAGAGATTCTAGATTCTTAGCCAAAAGCTCAGAATTGTTGGGTCCTAAAGGATGAAAAATGTAGAGTCCAACAGTTCATCCCACATGAATTTTTTTCATCCTTCATGTGGGATGAAAAAACTAAAGAGACAACTGACTTACCACATAAATGGACTATGGTAGAAACTGCTGTCCCTTAGTATTGAATATCTCCATTTTCTTTTAATCATAGAATTCACTGTTTTTTAGCAGATAATGTGGCTGTCCAGGCAGACTTGATATTTCTCAGCCTTACTTCAACTTGATTATGACCATGTGACCCAATTCTGACATTTGCCTAAAGGAACATTTACCTAAAAAGGCATTTTCTTGCTATGGCAGTGTAACCTGTACTAATAAATATAGCACTAGTCCTGCATGCAACAAAAATGACAGAAGTAGACATTTAACATTTCTAGGAATGTAACTGAGTAAAAAATAATTTTAAAAAAAAATAAGAGGATATAAATATCCTCTGAGTCAATATTTTTTGAAGGATAATGAGGATAAAATGATGTAATAAGTAGTACTTTCTCACAAAATTAGTAAAGGGCAAGGTGAGTGGCTCAGGGTACATTGTATTTGACGATGTTTCTCTAGTTTAGCCAGTGATTTTTCTCATCTCCAATTAATAGCACAGGCCTAGGCATATAGTAGGGTCTCAGTTAATATTTATTGAATGGTAATATCAAAAATGAGATCAGCAGCAAGACGGTAAGGCAGAATAAAAGTTGCTAAGAGCCTAAAATGATTACTCAGTTCCGTTGCATAGTTTTAACCTGCCCAAAAGATGGAAAGAGAAGAACATAAGCATAATTTCTGAATGCATCACAGCAAAGATGCATGTACTCATAAAGCATAAAATTAAAAATATGATACATTCACTACATGGGAATATGATATACAGTTGTTCTTCAGTATCCACGGGATATTGGCTCGAGGACCCCTGTGGATACCAGCATCCTTGAATGCTCAAGTCCCTTATATAAAATGGCGTAGTATTTGCGTACAGCCTATCCCATTCTCCTGTATACTCTAAATCATCTCTGTGTTACTTATAATACCTAATACAGTGTAAATGCTGTGTAAACAGTTGTTATAGTATATTGGTTTTTTATTTGCATTATTTTTGTATTGTTGTATCGTTATTTTATTGTTTTTTCCCCAAATAGTTTTGATCCGCAGATGTAGAATCCACAGATAGGAAGAATCAACTGTATCTTGTACTCAAAATAGATGAGTAACTTAGAAATTAATGTGTAATACATACAGCTAACATTATAGCTACGTAAGGAATTCCTTTCATTGAAAAGAAACTCTTGCAAATCAATGAGTCAACAACTCAATGGAAAACTGGCCAAAAGACATGAATAGAAGTTCACAGAAAAGAATGAAAATGACTGATAAATAATGAAAAGATGTTCTAAGACACTCTTAATTAAATAAATCCATAATAAAAGAATCATACTTTTATCTATCTACCAGATTAGCAAATGTCAAAATATTAAAATGTTAGTGGTCATCAATGTGTAGGGTTACAGGTTCATCCATACGCTGTTAATAGATGTATAAACTGGTCAAAACTTTTTGATCTATAGCACAGTATTATTTCTGTAAATATACACATAAAATATTATATATTTGCCAAACATATGTACTAATCTAAAACCAAACACATTAGACTGGGTACATGTGGAGAAAGAGATACAGGTGTTCCCTAGCAAGCTAATACGCTGGTGTCTCTTCAAACTGATACATTGGCATATTTATCTAATATTTAATCAGAAGAAAGCAAGCAGAAAAACCCAGGGAGTCTACTGTTAGTAGAAGTCAGCCTCATCTTTTCTCTCTGATTCAAGAAATTCATACTCAACTCAGTCAAACAGAAGTCCTGCATTTACCTCTTGGTGCTGGAGAGCCTTGGTGAGCCATTTAGATCCTCCGTATTTTCTCAAGCACAGTCCTCAGTGTTCTCATCTCATCTTAGGTATCTTATCAAATAATGTTTCCCACCACTTATTTCTAGCAGTTCTGGTAAAGAGAATGGCCTTCACATTGTATTTTGAATAATGTTTTGGCCTCCAGTAATGGTTAGGAACACACTATAAACATAAAACATCTGTCTACTTAACTCCTTATTCAGTCATGAAGCAATTCTTGTCCCAGTCATTCTCCAAAGCTACATACTGTGAATTTATACTATTGTATAGTGACACAAGCCCTTCTGCTGAAAAAATAAGTAGATAATTACTTTGGACTAAAAGGAAAACACTGAACATTTATTTTAAACCTAATTCATTTGAACTGGCCTTGAATTTAAAAGCCTACGTATGCCCCATATATGTAGAATGATCATTCATTCCGCTGTGT